CGTCCTGACTCTGGACCAAGACGATTTGAACGAGAACCTCATTGGCGTTAAGAAGATCCCAGGTGGCTCCCTCACCGATTCCCTCTTCGTCAACGGTGTTGCGTTCAAGAAGACCTTCTCTTACGCTGGATTCGAGCAACAACCAAAGTCGTTCAAGAACCCAAAGATTGTGTGTCTCAACGTAGAGCTAGAGTTGAAGAGCGAGAAGGACAATGCCGAAGTCAGGGTGGAGCAAGTGTCAGAATACCAGGCAATTGTCGACGCCGAATGGCAAATCATTTACAACAAGATGGAGGCTCTGTACAAGTCGGGCGCCAAGGTTGTCCTCTCCAAACTCCCCATCGGAGATCTCGCCACCCAGTACTTCGCCGACCGCGACATCTTCTGCGCTGGCCGTGTCGCCTCCGCCGACCTTGACCGCATCATCCAGGCTTGCGGAGGTTCCATCCAATCCACATGCTCTGACATCCACCCCGAGCACCTCGGTGTCTGCGGCCGCTTCGAGGAGAAGCAGATCGGAAACGAGCGTTTCAACTTCTTCGAGGACTGCCCCGAGGCCAAGACCTGTACGCTCGTCCTCCGCGGCGGAGCCGAGCAGTTCATCGCCGAGGTCGAGCGCTCCCTGCACGACGCCATCATGATCGTCAAGCGCGCCATCAAGCACAACACCATCGTCGCAGGTGGCGGCGCCTGCGAGATGGAGATCTCAGCCTACCTCCACAGATACGCCGATAAGAGCATCTCGAACAAGCAGCAGGCGATCATCAAGTCGTTCGCCAAGGCGCTCGAGGTGATCCCGCGCCAGCTGTGCGACAACGCCGGCTTCGACGCGACTGACATCCTCAACAAGCTGCGCGTCGAGCACCGCAAGGGCAGCACCTGGGCCGGTGTCGACTTCGTCAACGAGGGCATCGCTGATAACATGGAGATGTTCGTGTGGGAGCCCGCGCTCGTCAAGATCAATGCCATCCAGGCGGCGACGGAGGCTAGTTGCCTGATCCTGAGCGTGGATGAGACGATCAAGAATGAGGAGTCGCAGGCGCCGCAGGCACCGGGCCAGCAATTACCGCCTGGAGCTGCACAGAGGGCGCTCAGGGGCAGAGGCAGAGGCATGCCAAGGAGATGAACGGGCGCTGATGGGATTATGTAAAAGAGAAAAAGCGGATGTTAATGTATATTAGAGGTTCGGATACCATAGAGCTGAATCCTTATATCATAGTGCATAACAACTACAGCTTTCAAAGAAGGGGGTTCGATGCGTGGGGCGTGATATAATTGATAGTCGTAGTTTTGTGTCATCATATGAGATGAGGTCTCACCAATAAGATCCAAGTACGTCGGACTATCATGTCTCAAAGCACAGGAAGTGATGTTGAAGTAATAACCTTCTCGTATTAACATTATGATTCTTATGCCGTAGTACAACCGTAGTTGTAATAGCACATCATATACAAACACCCCTCTTTTCCTATGCAAATATCCCACCCCACCCAGCGTATAATCTTCACTTATCCCATCTCATTTAATACTACCTTTCCCCCATCCCAATTTAATGGTGACTATACCCCCTCCTCGACCTATCTCTCCTTCCTGCCCCCGCACCTCCCATTACCGGCCAACTCCCCCTCTTCTGCACCTTCCCATTCATCCCCTCCGCCGCCGACGGCCACACCGTCAGCGCGCGCCACATATCCCAGACTCCCGCCCGCCGAGCGGGTAACATGCTATATTGCAGGCTGTACAAGTTCTTCCTGTGGATCGGCGGCACAGACTGGCCGGTCATGAGGCAGAGCAGGACGCGGGGCGACAGGTAGTGTTTGCGGATGCGGGAGCCGAGCTGGAAGTACTGCTGGAACATGGTCGGGAACGTTAGGGGTACCGACTTTAGGTAGACGTATGAAGTTGGTGGCGGGGGAGACGGTTCTGAATCGGGAGACTCGGGCTCGGAGCGCGGAGTGGTGCCAGAATATGGGCGTTGCGGCGCTTCGATGGAGGGTTTATTGGTATCTCGGAGTTCAAATCGTATACCGCCTAATGTGTGTTAGCAATGTTATGACAGCAATATCTAATGAATGGCTGCTTACCTGGCAGGCGCTGGGAATCCTTAAACCGCAGCATCAGGGCGAACAGAGGGAAATGATTTAAACAGGCTAGCGCCGTATCAAGTACGGCTTTGAGACTGATAATACTCATGCGCGCAATGGCAAACGTGAGATAGAATACTATGACAGTCGGGAGGAGGAAGAAGAGGAGTGTGAATAGAATCGTGCCCAGGAGCAATTGATCGAGGTCGTAGTCGCAGGAATCAATGCGTTTACGGAGAACATTGTGTTTCTTGCCACGGAAGAGGTGAAAGAGCGAGAGGATGATTGTGAGTTGCCAGTGGAAGATCTTGGCTGATGCGATATAAAAGGAGTAGATGTGTATCGTAAGGAGCGATACAAAGTCGGAAAAGAGAGCAATTGGCATGCTGGCGCCAGCAAAGCTTGAGAATCCGATGAACCATATGAGGTGGGGTAGGATGGGCCGGAGAACGTCGACACAGCTTGACCAGTAATCAATGACCCAGAGGAAAAGGTCACCAAGGAATTGAGCCAACTCATTGTTCAATTTCAGTCCAGCTGGCCAGTCCATGAGCCATGATATCGTCTGCTGCAACGATGTCACAGTGTATGTGCCCAACACATCACTAATCTGTTCGGCGAGCCAGTCTGCATTGTCAATGATGGCAGAACCAATTGCGATGCCAATAATGACATCGTTTGCAACAAGCCACAGACTGTTGTAAAACCGTATGTAATCGGCGTGGCTTTTCGCGATACTCTGCCAGTCATCTTTTCTTTTCCTCAACATTACATATTGCATGGGCCAGTAGCAAAACTGTAGAAGTCGGATCTCAACCTGTTGGGCAGTCGCAGATATGTCTTTAAGCGCAGCATACTCGGGCCTGAGCCTGTATTCAAGGAGCACCAGAAAAAGTTCTGCGGCTGCCCTGTGCCACAGCAGAGCTATTACAAAGCTAGTTCGGATGATTGGGTAGATGTAAACAGTTATCAGCCGCCATATGGCGTCGATAACATAATCCCTCATTGTTGAAGCAGACTCGATGACACGTTCGGAGACACTCAAAGTTCTCCGTCGCCGAGTGCCAACCAGGGATATATTTTTCTGTAGTAGTTTCTCCAATTCCCAAGCGAAATTTATCTGGTTCACAATTCGAGGTAGAGCAAGCTCTTTCGCCGAAGGTTGATGTTTCGTCACCGTATGTAGCTTCAACTTTTCCACCAACTCTTGCTCTCGTTGTCGTTTCGCTGCTTCTGCCTTCTCATCCTCGGCATCTATGCCGCCCAGTATCTGCTCCGTCTTGTCTCCCAGGGCTAATAATATTGGCGAAAGTGATATGTATTGCATCCTCCCTGGAAGTGGTCTGTCGAACATAATGACTTGTATGGTTTGTGCCTTCGCGCATGAAATGCGCGGCGCTAAACCTTGTAGTGATATTTCAGCATTTATCTGGTAGGGTTCCGTCGGTGCATTGGAGTTGACTGTGCCGAGCACATGCATCGCAGGAAGCCCACATAATTCGTATATCCGTTCGATGCTATGGTCTGCGCCGCGAAAGAGGGTTGCGACTCTCAGCGCATTCTCCACATTCCGAACCTCGACATCTTCGAGTATGGCCACAACCAGGACATCGAGGTCTGAATTCTTCCATCCCACTATTACACCTGGTGAATCTGACCTAGGAATATCCACCGGCCAGAAGATTCTCATCAAGCCATCATGCTCCAGCATGACAGCCGATCGTTCCTCAGAAGGAGCCCCGTCTTCGAAGTTGTTCGCGCGCCGAGATGCCGGTATTAGTTGATCGCGGATGCTATATTGTTTAGCGCGTGAATGTCTTGTCAAGGGGGAAATTGTTATACCAAGCTGGCCTCCCTGTGTGCGAGTCTGTCCACTGGTATTATGAAGAGGAAGAAAAACAACGAGAGGATCGCAACGCCCTTTGCAGTTCGAGTCTGATAGTGAACATGGTCAGCCAGATAATCACAGCCAGGAACCGCAGGTAACACGTACAATAACTCCGTGGTCCCAGGCAAAAATGGCAAGCTCATGAAGTCGAGTGACCAGATCCCACCTAGCTGTGATGTAGCCGGCTACGAAGATGCCAAAAGTTAGGACGGAGAAAGAGGGCATGAAGCAGCTCTATTGCTGGATCATGGGATAATATTCCGACGAGCAAACAATGGCGCATTGGTATCACGGAATGGAACAGCGCAGGTCGATCGTGGGGACGAGCAAGGGTTGCTGGCTTTTGTCGGGCGGCAGGAGCTCTGCGCTCTGAGAGGACAGTGAGTGGTTGAAGAGGTAAACAGAGAAGTAATTAATGGTTGATTACGCCGTGACGACGAAGAGCAGAAAGATCAAACAGTAAACTAGATAGTCGACATGATTGAGATATGAACAGCGACCTCAAATGCTGGGTTGGCGGGTGTTTTGGCTGTGTGTACTTTGTAATTCTATTATTACAGTCCAGGGTGTTCTAGATCCAGTATCTGGAATGGCACATCGCGCGGCTAAGCCTCAATGGGATGCCGAGGAGGGTGACGGAATTTAAGCTTCATGGTCACGTGATACCAGACACCGGGCAAGTGATACTACATGTTGGGATGAGTATGTGATTATGAGCACTGTGAGAATTTATAGTAGCAATTTAAGTCAATGGAATTTATTTTCTTGTGTTTACTCCTGAGTAACTGGCTTGTTGAAAGGCGATAGTATGACAATTATAGGCAGCGATGATGGCCCTTATTTTACCTGTATCGGCGATGGGTCTACAGGCGGTTTCTTGCCTCTGGGCCACTGTAATATGCGGTCCTTCTAGACATTCTAATCCTGTCGGAGTATGGAAATGTTTCATATCTGCAACCCATCGTTAATGTGCTCCATCCATGCAGAATCTCACTATTCATTATCTTATCATCACGAGGAGCAACTGTCTATTATCTTATCTGCACGGGTTATAACAGTTAAATTATTCTATCTGCAAGGAGCAGCCATCCCTTGAAATACAAACTTAAGCACAGTCCCTTGATCTGAATAGGAGGTTTTGTAAATTCGATATGATGGGCGAGATCTCCTTGACGCCGTCTAAATATTCTGCTCGACTATGCCAGGAAGAGTTGCAAATATAATAGTACAGTATATAGCGCTGAACGCCGAAACCACAAGGGCATGACCTGCAAGCACAGGGTTCCCATGATTAACTCAAGTCTTTCTACTTCCTCCGAAGATTTGAAGCGTCATTCTCCTTGTGATCCTCTCGAGCATCGGCGAGCATCTTGTCAATGCCGCGGCTCTTCAGTGCACCCTGCCACCGTTAGTATACAGAACAACCCGTAGATTCAGCGGAGCAGCTACCGTCAGGCACGCCTTGTACTCTTTAAAAAGCCCAGCGCATTCATCTGTGGCGCCGTTTCCACGTAAATATTCTGAGGACTTAGGTCAGTTGCATGTTAGCTTAAAGGTGGCGAGGACCGCCTACTTTCACTATACCACTTCAGAAAGCAGGTATCGTAGCGCCTAATTTCACGTCAGTCATGTATCTTTGAGAGGAAATAGTTCTTTGACTAACTCCTTAACTTCATTGCACTCAGGTGCCAAAGACGCTGACATTTTTGTGTTTGTTGCCCTTGATATTGTTGCTGAGAAGCCGGTCCTTGACAGCTTTGGGCGGACGTATTCCGGGACCATCGGCACTAATAACCCCGGACTTTGCGCAAGGCTAAACTTTTTGTGAAATTCGAGAACCTCGTCAAGCAAGCTCCCAAAGTGAAACCCCAAGATTTTCTGTTCACGAGTAATATAATTTACTCCACGCCAACAATGGAGGGTCCGCCAGGGTTTAAATCATTGCAGGATGCGATCCAAGCAGCATTGATTTCCACAACACGAACCGTCGGCCAAATCTCCGCAGAGGACTTGGGCTTCCATCGCTCTCTCAACCCGGAAGTTGGCACGGCGCTGGACGAGCAGAACGCACGCCTGCTGGGCCTGTCGAGCTCGATCCTTCAATCTGCTGCTGCGCTCACGGAGTCGAATGCGCCAGAACTACAAGAGGTGGACGATGTCGACAACAATTGGCGGGGAGTCGTTGACGTGGTGGACTCGCTTCTAGAGCGCGCAGATACCTGCCTCGACGAGTACACTGGCGTTATAAAGAGAAAAGCTTCACCAGCTGAAAATGTATGCGACGAAATTCCAAAAATTGCTTCTGCCATTGCTAACAAGTATACTAGGCCTCTGCCCCGAAATCCAGAAGACTGGATAACTCATTCCGCACCCAAAACCTCGTCAAGCCCCAACTCTCTTTCCTTAACAAGCCCGCCAACCACGAGACTGAGCCATGGAAACCGCTGCTTAACTCAAAACCCCATGCCATTGTGCCTCTAGAGGAGTCTCTCGGCCCCGTCACAGACGACCACCAACAAAAGCACTACCGCCACCCCTACGAAACCGAAATCGAGAAGCTAAAATACCCAGCTTCCGTCTACCAAAAAGCCGACCCGATACCCTATCTCCCCGTCGAATCGACATCTGCGACTTTCGTCGACACATACGAGGGCGTCTTGGAGATGCTGGCAGAGCTTAGAACAGCAAAAGAGATCGCCATCGATCTCGAGCACCACGATGCGCGCTCATACATCGGCCTCGTCTCGCTGATGCAAATCAGCACACGGAAGAAGGACTGGATCGTCGACACACTAAAACCATGGAGACAAGACCTCCAAGTCCTCAACGAAGTCTTCACCGATCCCAAAATCCTCAAAGTCCTCCACGGAGCATTCATGGACATCCTCTGGCTCCAACGCGACCTAGGCCTCTACATCGTAGGCCTCTTCGACACCAACCACGCGTGCAAAGCCCTCGGCTACGCCGGCGGCAGCCTCGCCTTCCTGTTGAAAAAATTCATCGACTTCGACGCCGACAAGAAATACCAAATGGCCGACTGGCGCATCCGTCCGCTCCCCGAGGGAATGTTCTTCTACGCCCGCGCAGACACCCACTTCCTCCTCTACATCTACGACAACATGCGCAACGAGCTAGTCGAGCGCTCCAAGCCCGTCCCCGCCGAGGAAAACCGCCTCGAGATCGTACTGAGGAAATCGAAAGAGACGTCCCTCTTCCGCTACGACTCGCCCCGCTACAACGCCGCTACGGGTAAAGGACCAGGCGGCTGGTTCCAAGCCCTCGTGAAGGTACCTACGTTACTCAACAACGAGCAATTCGCCGTCTTCAAAGCCGTGCACGCCTGGCGCGATAAGATCGCCCGCCAGGACGACGATAGTACGAATTTCGTGATGCCGAATCACACCCTCCTCAGCGTGGCGAAGGTGATGCCCACAGATATGGCATCCCTCCTCGGCACCGTCCACCCCATCTCCTATAACGTCAAAGCGCGAACCGGCGAGCTCCTCGAACTCATCAAGGCCGCGAAGACGAACGCAAAAGACGGGCCGAGTATGATGGAGGTCCTGAAACCCGATTCCGTCGGCGCTCTGGCGGCTGCGAACGCGCGATCCGCTAGGGCATCGGGGGATGTCAGGCAATCCGTCCTTACTATCCTTTCTGGCGACGCAGGGGGCGATATGAGGAGTCCGCAATCTGCGTTCTGGGGTCGCGCGTTCGGGAGCAGTACGTGGGAGGAACCGGCTACGCTTACGAAGGCGGGGGAGGATATTAGGCTTGCTATTCCGCTGCCGCCGCTTGCTGAGGAGGCATTCTCGGAGGGCGTGAGGGAGTATAGTATCCTCGCCCAACCCGTCGCTGAACCTGAGGACGAGGAGCCGGTGGTGGTGGAGGAGGAGAAGGCTTTTACGATTAAGGGGGGCCGAAAGCGGAAGAGTGATGATATGGAGGAGGAAGCCGAGGAACCGGTCGAGGAAGCGGGGGAATACGATATCTCCCTCCACGAACCCCTCGAGGGCGCCGCTAAGGAGAAGTCCCTGAAGAAAGCAGAGCGCAAGGCGGCGAAGAAGGCTGCTAAGGCTGCGAAGCGCGGGGATGGAGAGTCCCCGACAGCGAAGAAGGAGGAGGATGATGAGGAGCCATTCGATTACAGTAAGGCGGAGTCGGTGATGAATAAGAAGCGCACGAACGACTACGCCGGTGGCAAGAAGGGGGGAAAGAAACCGTTTGACCCCTACCAGAAGAGCGCGGATGCGTCGACGGGGATGAGGAGGCTGCAGACGGAGAGGCCGGGGAAGAGCTTTACGTTTAAGGGATGAAGATGAGGTGATGGGTGGGGAGAGCTGAGCGGAGTGGAGCTGGGAATAGGGCTCAAGTCTGAATCCGATTCCAGTAACGCCATTTCTATTTCCAGGGCCGGTGAAGAAAGAAGGGGGGTGCGCGACCCACTGTTATTTTATCGCGACCTCGCTACCTAGCTAGCCCTTGCGCGCCCGCGACCTGTCTTGTCTTGGCTTTTGCAAGCCCCCGGTCCGTTTAGCCGGCGGAAAAAGCGACAAACTTTTTTTTTTGTCGCGACGCGAGGGGAGCGGAGCTACGATGGTAAGACATTTTTTTTGTGGCAGGATCTGCTTAGGCAGCGCGGTCGGGTCGGAAGTTCTTGACGCGGCAGGGGGGGGGGGCGAGAGAGAGGGAGGAGCCGAGACATGTTTTGGGATTTGGGGATTTGGCATGTGACATATTATTTGGGATATGGGCGTAGCCAAGAGGCGCGGGAATGGGAATGGGAGTGGGAGGAAAATATGATGTAGATAGATAGGGGGCCGACTGTGAGCCGTTTGGGACGGACGGAATGGGAATAAATCTTAAAAAAGACAAAGACGTTGTTGTGACGTAGACTCTCTCCTCCCGTTTGGGACACGAAACCTTTGAATTTCTCTGTGACTTTTGTCTGCAAGTGGGTGGTGAGCCAAACGCTAAGCGCGGCTGATGATCGTATGAGTGGGTGTTCTGTGGGGGGGGGGTGATAATGGTTAAAGGAAGTGCCACTTTTACCACTTCTTCCACTATCTCTCTCTAGCATCCCTAGGCTGGTTCCTGGTACCTTTTTTTCCCTCTCTCTCTCTCCCGCGACGCGTTGGTGTTGAATGCCACCATGTTGGCGTTGGTCCCCAGCGCGCTAGCTCTCCTTTGGTACCCTAAGTCGAAGTTGCAGTAAGCCACGTGCCTGCATCCGGACTGTCATCTCTCCCCTTTCGTGGGTAAGGATGTTGGAAGGGGTAAGTAGAGACGAGGGAACTGCTCTAGGTAAGGAAGAGGGACGACGCGGGATATGAAGAAAGATGGGGGGGATATGAGGAATGCAGGTACAGTAGCATCCGGGTGAACTACACTCACTCACGGCGCGTGTCTTGATGTATGTACAGTCCGTACAGTACAGTACCATCTTGACATCCCATCCATCGCACCCACCCGCCCATGCAACAAACCTTTTTATAGCCCCCTTCCCTTCTATCCCCATCCCTTCCCACTCCATCACTCCAGGGGGGGACCAACCATCGCACCGTGCCCCGTCCATTACTCGTAAACCCCCTTCTACCTGCCGATCCCACCCAGGGGTCACGCTCTCCTCTCGCCGGACTGATAACTAGAGCAAGGGGAGATTGCGGAAGCAGGTACTACTGTACGGCCGCACAGGCGTGTGTACTGTACTGTATGCGTAGTACAACAGGGCGCACTGCCGGACACGCCGCGCGGGAGTTACTCAGGGGATGGGGTTGTGCAGGGCGAGAGAAGGAAACGAGGAGACGAGACCTCGGATCGGATGGATCGGACAGACCATGACGTGGTGGTGGTTTGGCGAGGAGGGAAGGGCCAAACACACTCCTGACGATCGCGGGGGGGAGGGGAGCAGAGCACAGTGCGTTTTGTGGTTGTTGCTTGGGGGGTGTTGGGTGTGCACGGGCTGTGGTTGGGGGGTGGTTATCGTGATCGTGGTGCTTTGATGCCCTGCACTATGCCCTGTGGATGGGATGTGGATGGGGATGTCTTACGCGCCAGGAACGGTGTGGAGTGTGTATGCGAGGCTGCTGATGGTACAGTAGAGGATTGATTAGTGGCATGCGCGATGGTGAGGGATGGTGGTGGTGGTGGTGGGAGGTTCCACTTCGGGGGGTCTCAGTTGGCTTGGTCTTGGCTGGATATCGGATGGAACAGGCAGGGCTGGGAGTGTGTGCTTTGCTTCTGAACCAGCGAGCGGTTACAGTGAGTTTTCTTCGCAGTGTTTAGAGCAGAGTATGTATGTACGTATGTATGTGCGCGTCGAGATGCGCCAGGTTCGTTGTTGTATCGTTCGTAATATCGTAATGCCGCCGCATGCAAACGTTCGGTCCTCTTATGTATGATGCGTTTCAGGGTTCTATGGACCCTCAGGCTTTGTCCAGCGGCCGTGGGTTCAAAGGCATGAATGAACTTGCTGGCGCCGGTTGCCTGGGCGTGTGATGCTAGAATTCTAGTTTACCACTACCAGCGTAGTACGGGATAGTTAGGGTGCTCGTAGGGCGAATGAAGTGGGCTGGTTCGTCCCGTCGGCGATGCTGGGCAGGTACCCGTTGTGGTTATGATGATGGATGATGTAGTGTTGATGCACCACTGTGAATCTGTAAGACGTGGTACTGCGAATGCTGCGACTGCGACATGTGGGGTAGGGACGGTGAGAGTGGTAACATTAATATCGATCGGGATGCCTGATATACTCCGGCATGCATGGAGATCTGTGTCAATCTGTGTCAATCAGCGGTGGTTCAGTCTCATAGGCGCCGTTGACCTTTGATTTGCTTGTTTCAAGGGAAGGATGAAGAGAGGAGAGATGCTCAGAATAGTTTGTATCTCATAGTGACCATATTATAGTTACATTGTTCCATGCTTCCGTCTCTCAATGCGAAGATACCGGTGTTATATCGTGTATTTATAGCTGATAATGTCTGATCTTGTATATCAAATGAGTATAATATCAGTATAATAAGAGTATAACTACCATCAGTATAACTCAGTATAACTTCTTTTTTAGTTGTAACTAACTAAACTCATTAGCCCCATCCCCAGTGGACCCCTGTACCCTCTAGCGACGTCTCTTCTCAGACAATCCCCCAGCTAGAGTCAGGTACCCTCCAAGTAACTCACTACTAGATTTCTACTAACTTTCTACTAACTTTCTGCTAACTTACCACCTTACCTAGTACTCTTTCTAATAAGCCTCCCAACCCTCCTATGTACCTTTTCCCCCCTCTCCCTCTCCCTCTCTCCTCCCTTCCCCCTCCTCCTCCTACTCCTCTTTAATCCCTCCCCCCTTCCATCCACCCACTACTACCATAACAACCACACCACCACCACCACTAACTCCCAAGATCCTCTCCTCCTCCTTCATTCACCCTCTTTCTATCCTTCCATCACCCCTCCTGTCCTTCTTTTACAACTCCCATACCAAGTCGCTGGTTTTCACAAAAGAAAGTCGCGCGCCCGAATACAAAGATCTAATATCTTCCCGAGGTGCATCAACCATCGCGCCGACACACAAGACCCAGCATTGAACCTAACTGGCTGCCTCAAAAAACCCTCGTGGCCCAAGCCCAGGGAATCACTCTCCGTCTCAGACATTCCCCGTCGCAACGAATCGGAATATTACGCTGTCCTACCGCTACATTTCGCAAACAGTAATCGACACTGCATATGCTTCCAAGAAGATACTTTCTCCCAACACTCACTCTCCATTGGCAACAACCAGAGTCTTAACAGACCCGATTATAACCTGCGCAAAAGACAATCTTGTCAACCCAATTCCTCGCCGCGAAATCAAACTCCCTCGATAACTACAATCAAGCGTCCGGGCTCCTGCTTTGTTTTTTTGTCGAATTTCAGCCTTTCGTCTGACCGTCGATTTACAGCCTTCATCCCTCAGCTGAACTACCTGTCCTACACCACATTTGTCTCGCCTTTCGGGATCTAGACCCTCGCGCCGCAACAGCACGACCACACTCCTATCCTTACTCATTGCGCTTGTACGATAGCACCGTCGGGCTCGCCGCGCTTACTCCGAAACCGAGGCGGACAAAAGGAACCGCTGCCCCGGTCCTCCAGAGGGGTTCACAAAACTCCGTCGAGCGACACAGGGTGTGATGGCGACCATGTTACAGACACCATCGCGTGCGTCCAGCGCCTCCTCCTCCTCCTTCCAACCCGTCTCGCGCCAGAACACAATGTCGAGCGTCAACGATGGCAGCCGGTCGGCGAGGCAGTCGAAGAGGTACTCGTCCGTGACCGCGCTATACATGAGCATGTCCGCAAATGAGCGGGATCTGGAAATCGAGGACGACCTGGCCAAGGCGCAGAAGATTCTGCGCGAACTGAAGTCCAAAATCTCCTCGCAGTCGAAGAAGAACTTTGTGCTTGAGAAGGACGTCCGATATCTGGATTCGCGTATCGCCCTCCTGATTCAGAACCGCATGGCGCTGGAGGAGCAAAACGAGGTCGCGAGCCATCTTGAGGATGCTGGTGATTTGCAGGAAGGTTTCTTCCCCAATGACGAGAAGACTCAGAAATACGGCAACCTGTTGTTCCTGCTTCAGTCTGAGCCGAGGCATATTGCTCATCTTTGCCGACTTGTCACCATGGCTGAGATCGATGCGCTCTTACAGACAGTCATGTTCACAATCTACGGAAACCAATATGAGAGTCGAGAAGAGCATTTGCTCTTGACTATGTTCCAGGTATGCGCCTTAGGTCAACTGTTCAACATGAGATATGCTAACTTACTCTATTAGTCCGTTCTAACCTACCAATTCGATAATACCCCTGAATATTCGTCCCTGCTTCGTGCCAACACACCCGTCTCTCGAATGATGACCACATATACTCGCAGAGGCCCAGGACAAAGTTACCTCAAGGCGGTTTTGGCAGATAGAATCAACGGCCTCATTGAGCTGAGAGATCTCGATTTGGAAATCAACCCCCTGAAGGTCTATGAGAAGATGATTGAGCAGATTGAGGAAGAACACAACAAGCTGCCAGATAACCTGCCCAGAGGTGTAACTGCGGAACAGGCTGCGGAGAACCCCCAAGTTCAGGCCATCATCGAGCCTCGTCTCGGTATGTTGATGGAGATCGCCAATGGATTCCTCACCACGATCATCGATGGACTTGAGGAGACCCCTTACGGAATCAGATGGATCTGCAAGCAGATTCGCAGTCTCACAAAGAGAAAGTACCCAGATGCCAACGACCAGATTATTTGCACGCTGATCGGCGGATTCTTCTTCCTGCGCTTCATCAACCCCGCAATTGTCACCCCCAAATCATATATGTTGATTGAGGGGACTCCTGCTGAGAAGCCCAGGCGAACTTTGACTCTTATCGCTAAGATGCTTCAAAACCTGGCTAACAAGCCATCCTACGGTAAGGAGCCATATATGGCAAAGCTGCAGCCATTCATTCAGGGGAACAAGGAGCGCATCAACAAGTTTATGCTTGACTTGTGCGAGGTCCAGGACTTCTACGAGAGTTTGGAGATGGACAACTACGTTGCTCTATCAAAGAAGGATCTCGAGCTATCCATCACGCTGAATGAGGTTTACGCCACGCACACCCTCCTCGACAAGCATCGCGTGGAGCTGAACAAGGACGACAACTCTCATCTGGCGGTTATTCTTGCTGAGCTCGGCCCAGCACCAGCACAGCTTCCTCGCAAGGACAACAGGGCCATAAACTTGCCCCTTTTCAGCAAATGGGAGACCGCCATCGACGATCTCACAGCCGCGCTCGATATCACTCAGGAAGAGGTCTTCTTCATGGAGGCAAAGTCAACCTTTGTGCAGATCATGCGCTCGATACCTGGAAACCCACACGTAGCGCGCCGCCCGCTGCGTCTCGAAAAAGTTGCTGATGCAGCAGCGACCTCGCGGAACGATGCTGTCATGGTTCGCAAGGGTATTCGTGCCATGGAGCTCTTGTCCCAGCTGCAGGAGATGCGCGTCATCGATAGGGGAGATGGCTTTGCGACACTTCGCGATGAGATTGAGCAGGAATTACACCACCTTGGCTCTTTGAAGGATGGAGTTGTTCTGGAGACGGAGAAACTCGATGAAGTCTTCAAGACTATCCGTGACCACAACACCTACCTTGTGAACCAGCTTGAGACATACAAGAGCTACCTGCACAATGTTCGAGGCCAGGCGGAAGGCACCCGAAGGAAGCAACAGCAGCAGAAGGTTCTAGGACCTTACAAATTCACGCACCAACAGCTCGAGAAGGAAGGTGTCATCCAAAAAAGCAATGTGCCAGACAACCGGAGGGCGAACATCTACTTCAACTTCACGAGCCCGTTACCCGGAACCTTCGTTATAAGTTTGCATTACAAGGGTGCGCAGCGCTTTTTACTTTCTTTTCCACTACAAAATGCCTTCTCAATTCCTTTCACACTACAGAATACTAACTCTTCATCACCAGGACGCAACCGTGGACTGTTAGAGCTTGACCTCAAGCTCGACGATCTCCTCGAGATGCAGAAAGACGGCCAAGAGGAACTCGACCTCGAATACGTCCAATTCAACGTCCCCAAGGTCCTCGCGCTCCTCAACAAGCGCTTCACCAGAAAGAAGGGATGGTAAGGAAACGCCGCAGTGCCATCGTCCGAACGCAAACTGGAATATGAATTGATATCACCTCAATATCCCGCTCTATTTACCCGGTCGCCACCACCACCACCACCGACCAAGTACTTATACTAATATATACAAAACTGATATCCTATCAATACCCCCAAATTGGATTGTGTGTACGATCAATGGTAGCGAACAGAGCGAAACCAAACCGCATGCGAATTCTAACTTTGATATCCTCTCGCGCGCCGTTTCTTTCGCGTCGGTGCTTTTTTTTTTCTACGTTGGAGTTCTGGGGTTTTCTGCTGTACTCTGATACCTTTTCTGAGATACCTGGCTCGGGGGGTGTGCTCTCCGCATCAGTTTAATGTCCGTGGGGCGGGGCCGATGGCTGGTCCAGAGGCTTGGGCAGCTTTGAGCAAGGGGAGAGAGGGGGGTTAAACTGTGGTTTTATGTATGTTGGGATTTGGCTACGATTGGGATTTGGGGAGAGACGTTCATAAGGGATTTTTTTGGGGGGGGTGCGGGGGGGGAGATATGGGGGGCGAGGGGAGTTATAGCATAATAATGGCAGGGGCCGGAGATACCTTGGGGCTATGGATTGGGAGGGAGTGAAGGTTGGGGATTATTTAGTATAGGTGCTTGAGATAGATATAAGAAAGCCGTGCTTGACATTATTTACCAATGCAGTTAACCTCTCCCATACTGCCTGGTTGTATGTATATATCGTTGCCATGGTCCGAAACGAAACGGGAGCGACCAACCGCCGTCCCAAAAATAATAGCTGCTGACATAATAGCGCCCGTTCTGACCAGTACGCACTCAGCCGCCAACGCCGTCCCGGTTTGAGAACAACCATCTTCGCACTTCTGAGTACGGCATCGAACGTTTTGTGCAATACAGGGCGCGAACAAGGTTGGTGGTGTGCGCATGATAAAAAGGGGTAAACGAGCTTTGAGACGACAGATCTGTCGCTGTACCGGCCCTTGTGGCTCGTAGCATCGCTGGGTAGTCCTCCGCTACCCCTCTCTCTCTTGGAAGCGGTAAAAAACGACTGTGTGGGTAGATTTGTAAGTGGAACTCCGCCTATGTGGTGCGGTTGGAGGAATACCCCTGAATCATGTGATATGAAGCCAAAATACTAATTCCAAGAATAGGAGGCAAAGCAGCGCCCTGGCTATTCAAGAAGAGAAGGCAAGAAGCAGTCCGTCAGGCGCAGAGCAGCAGCATCATGCCCGCCATAATCGACGACCCCACCACCCCCACCATCTACCGCCGCTCCGGCACCTCCCCCTTCCCCGACCCTCACGACCCCCAACCCTCCCTCCCCGCCGACCTCACCCCGCGCCAAGTAACCCTCCGCGACCGCACCACCATCGCGACCATCGTCCCGTTCTCCTCGCGCTATGGCGTGCCTCCCACCTTACTCCAGTATCTGAGCGATACCATGAACAAGGAGATCGAGGGGGGCGACACCTACCCCATGATGGATACCATGACCGCCGACGCCTTCAGCAAGTACTGGTTCCAGAACTTCGGCGCCGTGATGCTACTAGGCACTTATGCGTCTGCGTCGGCCGTCACAGAAGGCCACGATTGGTCCACGCAGTGCCTAGGCTCATTCTACATCAAACCCAACTACACAGGCCGCTCAAGCCACATCTCCAACGCCGGCTTCCTCGTCACCGACTCCGCGCGCAACCGCGGCGTGGGCCGGTTGATGGGGGAAGCCTACCTAGCCTGGGCCCCTCTGCTGGGGTATACCTACTCGGTCTTCAACCTCGTGTACGAAACCAACGTCGCCTCGTGCCGAATCTGGGACGCGCTCGGCTTCAAGAAAATCGGCCGCGTCCCCGGCTGCGGCAATCTGCGCTCCTACCCTGATAGGTTGGTTGACGCGATTATCTACGGCCGCGAGCTCGGCGGGGCGCTGGACGAGCAGGCGGGCGAGGAGAGATTCGATAAGATTCGCTTCTACCTCAAGTACGGGACCTACCCCCACGGCGCCGATCGCGCGGAGAAAAGCAGATTACGCAGCGCAGCCACGCATTATCGGCTCCGCGAAGACGACGTCCTGATGCTGAAGGGGAGGGAGGTGGTGCCGGAGGTGGAGAGGCAGTGGGGGATTGCGCGGGAAGTGCATGAGCGTGGGCATGGGGGGATAAATCGGACTACGACGGCGATAGCGGAGGGTTTTCACTGGGTGAGGATTAAGGAGACGGTGAGTGATGTGATTAGGAATTGTAAGGAGTGTAAGGAGAAGGAGGCGGCGAAGGGGGTGGTGCCTGCGAAGAGGAAGGTGCTGGATGGGGGGGAGGGGGAGTATGTGGCGCTGGGGGGGAGTGGGGAGGGTAGTCCTGCGTTGCTCCCTGCTACGGAGGATGGGGATGTAGATGCGTTCCATGACCCTCCATCCCCTATCCCGCAGGAAAAGACGCTGACTGCCCCGCCGCATCAGATGGGCGGGGAGCAGCCATATTACACGGCGCTGGAGTACGCGGGGCAGCCGCCGAGTGCGTTTCAGACGGGGGCGGGGCATGGGGAGATGGCGCAGGGGCATTTACATGATGGTGCTGCGGGGTTGGAGTTGGATCCGAGGATTATGGGGGGGTTGAGGGAGGAGTTTGCGTTGGGGTTTGGGGGGTTGCATGATGCGGGGGGTGGGCACCATGGATTTGAGGAGGAGGCGTTTCATTTGGGGCAGGATGGAGGAGGGGGGAGGAAGTGGGAGGGGTAGTAGGGGTGGGATAGATATTAAATAAAACTTATGCTCTTGGATTTATTGTTTGTTGTGAGATTGGTATCTTCAAATCATGGTTCTATACGCTTGAGCCGCTTTCAGTGTTGGGGTGTTATTGCATAATTTGGTATTTATCATTAAACACAATAGGTTGGAGTACGGTGTTCCATGCTCTTTCGAGGGAGTATATTTCTTTCTACTTCGTTGCATCGATCACCCATGCGGACAACTCGATTAGACTCATGTGTCATCGTCTGCTCATCAACGCCAGCCTAAACGCCATTCCATGCTCTTCCAATACAAAACCCAATCTTCCCCAGCCAGCCCACGAATTACCCAATCTAAGCAGGCAACTCATACGCCCTCCTCACGACCCTCGAGAACTGGTCGATCTTGACATTCTCCCTAACCATCGTGCCCTTCGCCTCATTCTCCTTGTTCAGCGGCACCTTAACCACCGTGCCCTCAACCTGCCATCCACACACCTCGCTGACGAACTTATCCAGCGCCTCACCCTGCAGTCCCAACCACGCCTCCAGCACCGAGCGCTCGACCTCGCGCACAGCCTGCGAGATAGTCATAGCGATACGGATGCGGATCAGCTCCTCGAAGCCGTTGACGTCGGCAATGAGATCAGCGTACAGGTCGTCGGAGTCGAGGGTCGACCAGAACTTGGCGTACGAGGCGCCGGCGAGGAGGTTGTTGAGGACGGCGAGCTTCTGGACTGCTTCGGAGAGGGGGGCGTCGCCGGCGGCGGGGAGGGCGGACGAGGTCGAGATTGGCTGCAGGATGTGGGCGGGGAGGAGGTGCAGGCACAGCGAGAAGTCCGGGGAGGGGAAGACGGTCAGGGCTTTGACGAGGGTGTTGGTGATGGTCTCGTCGCGGGCGAGGTGGGGGTTGAATTGGTAGCTGGGGAAAGCGCGTTAGCTTGAGCTCTTTCAGGGGTACGAGGTGCTGGATGCTGCGGGGGGATTGCAGGGAAAGGCAACAGTGGAGGGTGGTTCAGATAGAGCTAATAATAATACTTCGTTGGACTGGAGGGATTCATTCTCCGGTGTCCTACAGGTCTTTGACAATATGGTTTATACATCATTTGGGCCTCCACTGTTGCCTGAGTGGTGAAGATACGGAAAAAATGACCTACAGTTTCAGGAGCGCGAGGTTGGCGTAGCAGTCATACGTCTTGTCGTCGCACTGCTGCTGGACGTAGTCTTGGAAGATGGTCGTCGTCTCGGGGTTGTAGCGGTCGAGTCCGTTGAGGATCGCCTCGATGTGCTCTGGGCGCTCCGGCGCGTAATCGAATGGGATACCCATGATGTTTGATGGTGAGGTGGTGGAGAGGTGGGAGTGGTTGGGAGCTGGGTCTTGTCGTTGACGCGCGGTAGATGGTCAAGGTGGGATGTCCGTTGGCGCTGAAGTTTTCGAGCTTCATGGAACAAAATTAGGGCTACCGAGTGTGTAGGCTTCGGCAAGTTTTGGCGAGGAAAAGTGAGGCAACTTTACGCGATCAATGAACAGCAGGTCACGTGTTTCTCACTTTATGAATTCGAAATGGAGGAGAGCGAGAGCATCCTCTCAACTATTTTCTACAGTACGTTACAGTAATTTACAGAGCGATTCTCTCTATTGTTTATCTATATGTTGTGTCTATCTGTCGGCATATTTCCGCGTTCGTGACTCGTTCATTCCTCGTGAGGACGCTTCTTACCTGCTACTTGTTTAGCTCTCTATTCCATCGTCGCTGATTGCAGTGGGCCCATCTAACTCTTGACCAGAAGGCTGTGGCCGGTCATCTCCTCGGGCTGGGAAAGTCCCATGACCTCCAGGATCGTTGGGGCGACGTCTCCCAGGACACCGTCTTCGGTGGCCTTGAGCGACCAGCCCTTGGGGGCGTTCGCCATGATGAATGGGACCTTGTTGGTGGTGTGGGAGGTCTTTGGCTTTCCATCTGCGAACTTCATCTCCTCGGCGTTACTATATGATGTTAGGTTGTTATTGTAAATCCTGAAGATCGCAACTTACCCGTGATCAGAGGTGATGAAAAGAACGTAGTTCTCCTTCTTGCACGTCTCGTAAATCTCCCCGATGGCCTTATCGGTGGCCTCTACTCCCTTGATGGCAGCCTCGTACACACCGGTGTGGCCAACCATGTCGGGAGGCGCGAAGTTGTTCATGACGAACGGGTACTCCTGCTCCTGGATTCTCTTGGACACCTGCTTGGCAACGCCAGCGGCGCTCATCTCTGGGGCAAGATCGTAGGTAGCGACGGTCTTGTTGGAGGGGACGAGATCCTGGGACTCATCACGCTCCTCAAGAGGGAAGACCTTCTCGACACCACCGTTGAAGAAGAAGGTGACGTGAGCGTACTTCTCGGTCTCGGCAATGTGGACTTGCTTGACACCCTGGGCACCAAGAGTCTCAGCGAGAACCATACCCATGTGTTGCGGCTTGAATGCAATGGTGAATGGGTAATCAAGCTTGTACTGGGTCATAGTCGTGAGCCTGATGTTCTTTGGGTATGCGAAATCCGGCTTTGGGGAACGATCGACATCGCCGAGAAGTTGGGTGATTTCGCGGACACGGTCGGAACGATAGTTGAAGAAGAAGACCTCGTCGTTGTCCTGGATGCGGCGCTCTTTTCCGCCGACAATGATGGGCTTCAGGAACTCGTCGTTCTCATCCTTGCTGTACCTCTCCTTGACAGTTGCGACGGGGTCGCTGCTGTCCTCGCCCTCTCCCAGAACCATACCCTTGAGCGCAACCTCGACTCTGTCCCAGCGCTTGTCGCGGTCCATGGCGTAGTAGCGGCCAACCACTGTGGCGATCTCTCCGATGCCGATTTCCTTGGTCTTGTCGACGAGCTGCTGCATGTAGCCGGCGCCAGACTTGGGGTCGGTGTCGCGTCCATCGCCGAAGAAATGGATGTAGACGTGGGGAATACCAACTTCCTTGGCCACCTTGAGGAGGGCGTAAAGGTGATCTTGCTTGGAGTGCTGGGAATCATTTAGTACATTTCAATCCAATCGCACGAGGGATGACTTACCACGCCGCCGTCAGAGATGAGACCGCACAAATGCAGGCGCCCAGTTCCATTCTTCGCATCCTGGAATGTCTTCATGATAATCTCGTTCTTGTCCAATTCGTTGTTTCGGATTGTCTGGTCGATGCGGACAACATCCTGCCACACCACACGCCCAGCGCCGATGTTCAGATGTCCGACCTCAGAGTTGCCCATGAGGCCTTCTGGCAAGCCGACCGCGAGGGATGAAGCCTCGAGTCCAATGAAACCGTCGGCATTCTTGTAGAATTCGTCCATGACCGGAGTGTTGGCGTTGGTGATCGCATCGCCATCTTTCGGCGACGACTCGGAGGGGATTCCCCAACCATCAATCACGACTAGCTACGATTAGCTATGCCAATTCAAGAATATCGAGGACGTATAGAAGATAGGAGACTTACTGAGCACAGCTTTCTGGTCAACTTTAGACATATTGACGGGTGTTGGGGGTGTCTTGAAATAACGAAGGAATCGGAACAAAAAAGTTGAGAATGAGGTTGAGGTGGGGGTGGGTTGTTGTACTCTCGCTCTCAGGGACCCCTCAGTACGTCACCCCGTTCTTCGGCGACAACACAATCTCCACTGACATCGCTATATTTGTACAGTACCTGGCCGCTAATTCCATGCCACAACCACCCCACCAACGAAACGCAGCGTCTGTTATCTAACGGGCCGTCTTACAAAAGTCATATCCTCCGCAAATCATTACCAAAGAGCAAGACGGGTTTCGGCCCCTGGGAACCGGCGAAAATAAAGATATTTATACCATTCAGGCTCAACCACTAAACTAGACACCTGCGCGCCTACGCCTAGTCGAGCTAAACTCGACCTACCACCCCATCTCAGCTGAGCCTCACTTTACACCAGCACCTTGAACGTCAAGCTCTACACCATGTCGACCTCACCCTCGTTCTCCTCCGCCCCCAGCGCCTCACAGCCCACCAATCCCTCGTCATCCTCCCAGCCCACAACCCTCTCCGACAACCTCTCCCCCGCCATGCTCGACACCATCCCCGTCCTCACCTCCATCCTAAGCCGCGTCCAGCCCCCCACTTCCTCCAACGCTCCCGGCGCCTCCCCCATGCCAGCAACCTCCTTCGGCACCCCCTCATTCACATCGCAGCCCTCATCATCGCAACTCCGCCCCGACGCGACGGGCGCGCTGAGCACGAAAGAGATCCCCGCCGCGACGGACGCGTTGAAGCATAGATTACAGCGTGCGAGGGTGGAGGTTGCGCAGCTGCCGGGGATTGGGATGAGTATTGAGGAACAGGAGGTGGAGATTAGGGCGCTGGAGAGCAGGATTAGGGAACAGAGGGCTGCGTTGAAGAGTTTGAGTGAGGTGGGGGGGAGGGCTGGGAAGGGGGATACGGTTATGGAGGGGTATGAGGATGGGAAGTGAAGATGGGCGGAGATGAGGGTAGGATATACAAATACGCAATCGCCATGAGAAGGTGGTGACGCGTCGACGAGCGCAGTGGGGGTGGCATACTGAGAAACGCAGGCGAAGCCAGGTTCCAAGTGGATATGAGAGGCATCCAGACCTGTGGTTTTGCCCTGGTAGCCAGTTGCAGGAAGACAGAAAGGTGGAAGTGGATTTGAGGTGACGCATGGGAATATTAGGCGGCCCTCGCAGCATCCTTCTCGACCTCGGCATGGGAATCACCCAAGGCTGTCCTGCCAAAAAAATATGGGTGTCTGCGAAGGGTAGCAAAACCTTGATCTCATGACATTAGACGTATCATATCGTCTCCAAACCAATAAAATATTAATTTAAGTCATAGAACATGCCATTTATAAGTTCCCATATTAGCCCTTGCGTGCATAATTCGGAGATGTGCTCATATGAGGTCCAGCCTCTCCGTAACATATCCCAGCTATTTAGACGTCCCGACCTGCTTGAGGATATCCTCAGCCGCCATCCCAGGCTTCCCGGGAACGACGGTAGTCCATATTGCCTCGGGCAACCTCTCTGATTCCAAAAGAATACTCCAGTTAGGGCTTTTCTCCGCCTTGAGCCACTTGAAGTCGTCGACCTGATCCCAATGATTTTCTGTGGGCTCATCTGGCGGCACCTCCTGCAAAATAATAAGCACAGCGTATAGTTGCATGGTGAGGGGGTTACTTACATAGCACTTTGGAATCGGAGCAAACCTGATATTCTTGCAGTCTTCAATGATAGGCCTGCTCATGCAGGAAAGGTAGACATCCACATTGTTGCAATCGTGCATCCTCACCTGTCGACTCGAGACCACCACAACCGTGTCCTGGACATTGGTAATGTGTGTTGCACCTGCGACCTGTCCCGCCACAATGAGGGAATTTGTTATGTTTTTCAGTGCCAGTCCTGCAAAGGGTTGGCCATTGGCAGTCGATATGGACATATCCACAATGCATTTGCTGAGGTCGGTAAGGGATCCCGAGGACGTGGCATGGGCTGCTGAGGACGGCAGGATGATGTGTAGGCCTTCGTGATCCGAGATGGCGACTGAATTAGCTTTCCTGAAGCTGGGAGCGCGAATGCGGGCAGAATTTTCGGAAATCTCGGCGTTATAATCCTTTGGGGGAGGCTGGACACTGCTCGCTGCTGGCCTGGTGGGTTCACCATTATTTGACTCGGATGTCTTGTTCTCCGAGTCTGTCTTTCGTGCTGTAATTGCCGCAGCGGCAGCAACATCCTGGAGAGACAGGGCAGATTCGTTTTTCTTGATTTTGAAAGCAAAACGTGACTTTGGTGCAAACTTTGCGCGGGCTTCGTGGAACTTGTCCGTGAGGCTATTGATTGCCTACGAGTGGATTAGAGAACCGTAGACTATGAAATATCGAAGTAGGACCAACTGCTGTGTATGCCCGTTGATCATACGCGGGGATGAAGTCTAATGCATCGTGGACTTCTGTGGTGAGCCTGGAGATGCTGGCCAGACAGTAGTCAATGGCATCCTGTCTTTCACCGCCAACAAATGCGGTTCGTTCCAGCTTATCAATCTGGTCTTGGAGATCTATGAATGGTGTCAGTATAAAGCAACTTTGGGGGCTGTGGACAATATAATATACCTGTGACTTCTTGCTGGAAATAGCGGTAAAAATTGTCCTTCAAGTCTGCATGAGATTTGGAAGCATCATTAAATGGCTTTCTTGGGAGAGTCCCTGTGCCACCGACAGCTTGTTCCATTTTGAGGTCCCTTAAAAAAGCGAATAGATAGATGTACAGTTTCTGCTTATAACCGCTTGCCTTGAAGGTCTGATATTAGGTCAATTATAGTCAACTACCTTCTAAATGGCAAAGCGTAACCAGGTGGACTATTCAAGAAGCGTAAATATAGCTTTTGGCGTTTGGTGTTGATTCTGAAATAAGACGAGGTCGATGATACCGCTCTGACTTTATCTTATTGGAAGTGGCACCACTTCTGCCGCAGGGTCCAACTGCACGTCAAGCAAGGTTTAGCCAAGTTTGAAGTCGATGATCGCACAGGGACCGGGTCAGCCAAAATTACTCTTTCTGGACCAAGTATCGGAATATCCTCAACGTTCGTCCCAATCACCGCATTGCTGTTATAAATCGCCGTTACTATGTGTTGTTCCTGGTCAGATATTGGATACGGCAGGCCTATCGGGGTGCGATGGCGGCACGAGGCGAAGCGTACAATTGTGGGGTTACCAATGGAAGAGAACAGCCAGTTCTCGGACCGCCATCAGTTTAAATTGCTAGTTTGAATCCACGGTCATAGGAGCCTCTTCTCTGGACTTTGTGTGGCACGAGTATATGAAGTCTATTTTCTAGAATCCTGCCTCAAATCTTCACGTTTCACGAGACTATACACCCTCCTATCATTGCCGGCCATGTAAAGGAGGACTATGGACAACAACTTCTATTTACAGGACCTATGTCTGATTAAAATAAAGGAGCTCAATTAGTTAGAGCTACAATCGATAAGACAGTTACTCATTCATGGGGCTGAAGAGAGAGATTCTGTTGAATCGGAGTCCCGATATCAATCCGCATCAAAGGGAGTCTCTCTTCAGACTTTCGGGCAGCACGAGTATCTCCTCGGGCAATTGTTTAACAAAGGGATATATTTTTGGAAGTCCAGTTACCGGTTGGGTTCGGATCATTTGTTATATATGTACAGTACATAAAGTTCAATCGGTGTCTAGAAAGCGAAGTAAACAGGAAATCTAGGACGATTCACCCGGCACATCAATGCCGTATGCCTCCTTGATCCTCTCCTTCCTCCTGTCCAGGTAACCAGGTCCATATACTCCTAGGTCGGGTTAGCAAAAATTGAGCGCGTAATCAGCCCATATAGCACAACGTACCTCGGCCCTCTCCAACTTCAGAAATCGTCTGCTCTATCGGACGGCGTCTGTTCTTCCTCATGTATTGCTTTCGCTCAAACTCATCAGACTCTGGGTCTCTGTTCCAGCCTTTAATTCGGCCTCCTGTGTAATCGAAAGCGCCCAGCAGAACCGCTGCCATAGTTCCATAACCCAGAACAGCCGGTAGCGAACCCTCTGTGTTTTGGTCAGCAAAGAACCAATTGATGCCTCGCAAGGTACTGGAGAGGATTCTTACGCTTGAATCCAAGCACTGAACCCGCAAGAAGGCCACCCAAGGCCGGGTTCAAGCTGTCGTTCTTCTGCCTCAAGTTGGCGGCCGCGAATTTGGTGAATTCATATGTACCGCCCATCGCCGCTGAACTCCCATTAGCCGCATTTCACAAGTCTGTCGAGAGAGGCCACATACCGAAAACAGCGATTGTCGAACCACTCCTGGTGAAGACTCCCCATGGGCCAACATTCTTTCTGGCGAGAGCATTCTGAACTGCAGACATGAACAATCCGGCGCCACCCGTAATCATTGTACCGGTAATGGCGGCACCAATGGCATCCTGCGGATGATATACCCCTTCGTCGGCGCCCATCTTCAACGCGTTGTGCTGTAGATCTGCTGGTGGAGGTTGAGGGTGTTCAATTTCAATCGATTAAGCTCACTTCTGAAGCGGACCTTTCGTTTGGGACGTGGTGAACGGCACTGTACGCTGTAGCCGCGGAAGATGCCGCGCGCTAAAGTTCCATGCCTGTTTTTGGCTCACCCTCAACCAGGTACTGTATTACTGTGCAAGCTCGAGTATACTTTGTACTTGTACTCTACTGCACAAGTACATGCCATGGCATAGTACGTATGTATGCTTTGTATGCCTGCCTGCGCCTATGTACTGAACTGGCCTTCGCGGCAGCATCCTCGATAACATATATGTATATGTAGATCAGAAAATAAAAGCCTAGAAGCTCATGAACTACAGTGTACAGAAACAGCTATACATAACCTCTCGTCTTTATCTCCAAATTCGTTTTCAACTACATCATTTGCCCGCTCAACAACCCCTCACCGAGCTTGTTGACTATAACTGAACTGAGCTTCAAACCGCATGTGCCGCAACAAACCCATTACGCCCCTTCACCGTAGCCTTGTTTAAAGACAAAGGACTAGACATAACCACATTCTGCCTGGTCCAATATCAAGGTCTTTGAGCATACTCAGCGATAGTGTTGTTCATATTGTTGTCTATCCCCGGTGCCAGCTTGTGGTTGTTCACAAAGACAAGAGCAGCACATCTGCACCATGGAGGGCGCATATGAAGGCACAGGTCCAGGTGAGCTTCTGCTGTGAATTTTCGCTGCATAAAGTCAAATGCTAACCTCTCATCTCTTTCCAGGGAAGACGGGTCCGCGGTTACTCGAAGATCTATTAGATTACGACAGCTCAAGGCCTCGAGCGAACGGCGGCAACCTCCTCATCGACCCTGCTCCAATCTACAAGCCAAACAAGAGCTATCCTCCGCGCACACATCCGAATGACTGTCACCATTTCTTGTGTCGAAAGGACTGGCAGAGCAGCATCCCCCCCTTCGACAAAAAACCTACGACACAAACACAATGTTTCTCGGCCTCATATTGTTCATTCTGTTTGCACCATTTCGACGTTATTGTGGACTACACGCAGCAGCCTGGCAAAAACATTCCTTGTCAAGCTGGCACTCCTAACCCGCTGCATCACTTCCAGTATGTTGGGTCGGAGTTTCGGACACAAGAGGAGCTTGGGAGGCCCGAGAATAAATATGACAACTACAAGGAGCAACATGCATTCTCATGCTCAGCGTTCAGTTGCCCAGCAACTGTGACTATTCGGATCTCTCCTCCAAGGTTGAATCGTGCACAGTCGGCGTTGTTATTAAGTCCACAAAAGGTTTATGCGCGAGGAGCTAAAGTCATCGAAGAGGACCCAGATCGCTATGGAGAGAGCAGGCCTTCGCTTCCTTGTGAAGTTCTCGCTGTGATCCGGACATACCTCACGCATGCATTAACTAATGCTCCTGGAGAATCGAAGAGAATAGCTGCCCGCAACAAGAGATTCTTGCTGGCATTTGGTTACGAATGCAAGGACCTTCTCGAATACCTCGGATTTACCTATGAGCAGGAGCGGGTAAAGAATGGTGATGTAAGTTTTGTTTTTATCAATTCCTTAATTCCTTTTATCTCATGATTTTGCCGTGTCCATGGGCCATACTAATTTTTCCAGGTCGAAGAGGAAGAAGGATTCTGGTCACTGCCGGCTGTGTCACCTGCAACAGAGGCAACTGGTGCTGTGGTAGCTAAAACAAACAGAAATTTTGTCGAGGATGTTTTATGCGAGGTTTCTCAGCGTCTTGCAGATCGCCCAGCTGAAGAGCTCAAGCAGGGCAACTCTCAGATCCTGTATAACCCATTGCCAGCGCTGAAGGACCTACGCATTGCTTTGGGCATCCTCAACTTTCCAACGGACTCTAGAATCGTGAATCTTGAGGCGATTGAACACCCACATTATGCGAGCTTAGGCGCAACATCGAGTTTCTCTGATGAACTCATATTCTTCGCGTATAGCAGACAGAGGGACTGTGATCCAAGTCATAAACCCTACTATTTGGAATGTCTCCAGGGTATTGGCAAAGGCCGAGGCAGTCCCTTCCTCGAAGAAGAGTTTGTCAAGATCGTGTCACTAGGAGAAAACACACTTACGGAAATTGACGATGCGTACAAGTTTTTCGCACTTAACCCAGCCGTCGACCATGGAGATGATCATATTATCGGCGTCTATAAGTCGAGAATAGAAGCTGCTCCTATCCAGAAGGACGCGGCAAGGCGGTCACTGCTATTGATCGGCAAAGCAAGAAATAGTGCAAAGATCCAAGAAGTCGCAAATAATAGAGCCGTCACCTACGAAGAGGCTCTCGAATATCTTAATGTCACAGCGGACACTCCGTCCGACTTCATTGAAGCTCAAGCAATCGCTGTGGCCGCTGATGTCGACAAGAGTATTGTTGCACCCATGCTTAGTGTGATCGGAAACACAAGGAGAGATCTATCACTGCAAATAGCTGCTGCTACCATGGAGGCAGGCAGTGTTACTTCGAACCTGACTGTGAAGGAAGCTTATAAAAGGCTTCAGATCCAAGATGAGAACGCATCTGAGGAGTCTGTCTTTGCATACTATCAGACCCTCATAGAGGATGCACCACTGGGATCCAAAGAAAGCTTTTTGGAGGCTATTCGTGTCATTGCAAAGTCAAGAAACAGCAATTTCCTCTTCGCCAAGATCAGTGATCCTAACGCCGTCGTTGCTCCGCAACGATCTACGGCAGACCAGCCAGTTGGCCTGGATAATATTGGCAACACTTGTTATCTCAACAGTCTCCTCCAGTATTACTATACAGTACGGCCAGTCCGTGATGTGGTGATGAACTTCGAGGATTACCGGATGCCACTTACCGCAGAAAATATTGTGAAGAAGCGTGTTGGTGGGCGTGCTGTTGGCAAAGGCGAAATAGTAAAGGCTCAGAACTGTAAGTATTCGATTTCTGTTTCATCATTGACGGGAAGCTAATAAGAAATAGTCGCTGTAGAGCTTCAAACTCTCTACCAGAGTCTCAAATCAGCCTCGACTCAATCAGTGAGACCAACGCAAGACCTTGCCGAACTAACGCTTTTCAGCACAGCAACTGAAGCAAACTTCAGGAGAGCGTCTATCAGTAGCCCTTCTGGAATGCCAAACCTGGACAATGAAGAGAGGCCGATATTTGGCCCTCACCTCCCTCCTCCACCCCCGCCTCCGAAAGACCACCCGCCATATATTCCAATGCAGCGAGCCACGGTGCCAACGCAACTAATGCCTGATGTCGAGATGACAGACGAACCATCACAAGAAACTCTGGATAACGACGATTCAAGCAGCCAGATAACCCTTGTTAATCCAGAATCTAAGAATAACGAGGCGCCATCTGCGGATATGTCTAACGCTATCGACCTAGAAGAAGATTTGCCTGGAAGGTTGCCCTCTGCTGAGCCTCCAGCAATGGGACATGTGTCCATTGAGGTACCACTTGAAGCCCTTGGTGCGGGCGAACAGGCTCCTACCAGGAAGGATGCAGTAATGGCAAACAGCGGGTCTTTAACACCACCTCCCGAAAACATGGAAATGGTCGAGCAGCGGCCGCCGGTACCTCCTCGAAACAAGCCAGCTCCCATCAAGACCGGTGAATCCGAAGAAGACTTACGAGCGCAGAAGCTCTATTTTGGTGCCCAACAAGATGTCACCGAGGTCATTGGCAACGTCATATTTCGACTCCAGTGCGCAATTAAACCAACGAAGATTGATCCTAAGTTTGGAGAGCAGATCGACGTTGTCAGGGAGACATTCTTCGGGGCCAATGCTGTGCACTTGAAAAAGGCCGATTCCTACGACGTCAAGATTGAAGATTGGGCAAACATTATTGTGTTTCCCGGCTTGGATGGCCAACGTGATATTTACGAGGCCCTTGACGTTGTTTTCGACGAACAAATTGTCGAAATAGACAATGCAAATGCGACCCAGTTTGCGTCAATCAACAATCTTCCGCCAATCGTCCAGATCCAAATACAGCGCACTGCGTTTGATCCAGCCACACAGCAAGCTTCTAAAAACCAAAACAGAATTGTTTTCGATGAGACTATTTATCTAGATCGATACATGGAAGATGACAAGATTCTACAACGGAGGCGCGATGCTTGGGTGTGGAAGAATAGGATACGTCTATTAGAAACACGCCAGAAAGCTCTTCAGGTGACTGATGCGGAGGTGCCAGTCGAACGTGCCTTACATGCTACTAAAGACTTCATACAGTCGCTTGAGGATGACGAAGTTAGCGATATCGCCATTAACCCAGACCTAGCCAGTACTCTCGAAGAGCGAGCAAACGAGATATCGACCGAGATGGAGGCAATAGCCAAAGAAATATCGACTCTGAAATTGAAACTCCAGGAGCAATTTACAGACTTACGGCAGCATCGATACCGTCTTCAGGCCGTATTCATCCATCGTGGCACGAACGCATATGGACACTACTGGATTTACATCTATGACTTCGCTCACGATATCTGGCGAGAGTATAACGACGAACGCGTTTCCATTGTCGAAGACAGGACCCGAATTTTCGGCCAGGCTAGCACCGGCGGTGCGACTCCTTATTACTTGGTCTACGTGAGAGATGAAGATAAAAACGACATTGTCGATGCGGTCTGCCGCGAGCTCCACGAGGAAGCGCCAACTGGAGCTGATGAGATGGTCCAGGTTTGGAACAATGGACAAGTAGGTCATGATGAAGTTATCAATATGACCAATGGTGCCCAGCACATTGAGAATTACGAGCACTTCGAAACGAAGAATTCCTCCTCTAGCATGGACTTGAGCGGGATGGGCGCATGGGATGGGATGCAATCGGGATTCAATGGGAATAAGTAAGGAGCGGATCGTTGCATATGCTTATAGATCTGGGAGTTTTGGTAAATACCAAAGGTGGACGGAGGGACGAAGTACGTGGCAACGAGCTTTGAGGAGCATATGAAGGAGTTTCTATACCATAGTGCTACGAGCGATGGATCAACGAATGAAATGCCTTATATATTAGTCATGCCAACAATCCTCGCCCTAATTTATTGTGAGAAGGATGGATACTTTTAGAAATTTCCCAAACTGACTAACTAAAATGCGTTGTGGATGAGGTCACTGGTGACAGACGTCAGTCAGGACCCTTAGTTTCCGATATCATCCCATTCTCAACCACGGCCGTCACAACCACCCATTTTAGTATTTTAGGGGACTTTCCCGCATAATATTTTCTCACAGAGACACTTCAATAACATGAATTTTCCACACGAGATCCCGCTCATTCACACATGCGTTTCTTGGAAAGCCTGCGACTATGGTCCCCCCAACGCCACCGCCGCCGTGTCAATCTACCGCATTCTCATAATTCCCAGCCCACAATTGGCGCTCGTGAGACCGCACGGTGGTCAGAATTTGTTAATAGAATCTGGTGCCTGATGGATACAATTTCAGATACTTTTGCTACGACACCCACTCGCCATGCTGCTCGTCTGAACGATTATATATGGCCTCGCTCCCATCCCTGGCCTCCTTATTCACCATCACCGGCCCTAGCACAGCGATTGCATGGCTACGCTGCAGTGCACATATTTACGGCCATCTACCTGCCGTACGCTTTTATTGTGTCGGTTGTAACAATGATCGTTGCTATCGGGCTACGCGTTGGGTTTCCTAACGGCTGGCGCTTTTCCATAGTCCTGGGGGTCTGCGGATGGGTGCCTACAACGATGTTGGTGGGGTTATATGTCGTTTTAAAGACGAAGATAAGGATGGCGAGGGAGGTGGCCTGGGCAGCTTGGGGTGCGGAGGTGGATAGACGGATTTTGGAATTTGAGAGCCTACATGGGAGGGCTAGGGAAGACGAGATAGAAGCGTTCATGTATTGGGTGAGGGGAGGAGAAGGATTTGATAATTCTCATGTCGCTGGGCGAGAACCGGATGAAGAGAGTGCCATTGGGCCGGCCCTGACGGATGAAGAGTACCAGACTGGCTGGGGAAGTTTGAGGCAGGAAGATGGGGGCGATGGCAGTGATGGCCCTGATGAGGAGGGCTGGAATATGCATGGGACCGTCCTGAGGGAGCTTCATATGGCGGTGCATTGGCGGCAGAATGCGGATGACCAGGCGAGGGCGCATCGAGAGGCGCAGGAGGTAGCTCGTTTGAGGAACCATATTGCACATGGCGTGGCTGCGGAGGCGAGCTCCCGTCCTGAGACCATGGGGCTGGTGAATAATCCAGCGGTGAAAGTGGCAGAGGAGCCACTGTTGGATATTGACCTGGGTGACAATGACTCGGCAGTATCATTCACAGTCAAAAACGACGAGAGTAAAAGCATAACTTCTGTGGACAATGTGGAAGCAGAGCAGGATGATGATAAAGTAAATACGGGTTGAAAGTTTAACGTAGTCAAATTTCCATAGAGTAGGCAGATACATACAATAGATTCTATTTGATTGTCCAAACTCTAGCTGAGCGCCCTCATTGTCATCTCCACCACCACAAACGTACCGGAGCTGACCGGCATAGCCCTAATCATAGTAGGGAAAATTCCTTTCCAGAAGCCACCCATTCCACCAGCCCTCCAAGTTTGCCTGAAGCAGTCTGTCATGGTCTTATACTTCTGCTCCTTTCCAAACCCATCACTCTGCATCTTGCTCTTCACAACATCGAACGGGTAGCTCGCCAACCAGAGCACCTCACCCGCCAAACCACCATACATCGCAATCTTCCACGTCGGAATATCCTTACGCTCCACATTGTTCCTCGCCGCATCCTTGTTCATCATATACTCAAACGACATGAACCAACACCCATAAGCCTGCGCCTCACGCATCAGCGTCACAGCCTCACCACGATAAATGCCCTTCATGCCCTCATGCGCAACTAGCTTCCTCACACAGTCCAGCGGGCCGGAGTACAGCCTGTCCTTCCCGTGGGGCTGGGTCTGCAGCCTAATACGGACATGCTCGATTGGGCCCGAGATGACGGAGTTGGCGAGACCGGCGAAGGCTCCGGCGCCGTAGTACTGCGCGTACGAGAGGTCGGGGGATGCGAGTGCCGATCTGGAGGCATTGTACTGCTCGAATTGGCGACGAGCGAAGCCAAAGGCACCGAATTGGACAGACACACAGGCGCCGATACCGACTAAGGGCGTGAGGGTACCCTTGTAGAAGGCGAGCGGGCCCTCTTTGGCATAGATGGTCTTGGCTGCGTCCAGGGCATTGGCGTACTGGGTGGTGGTTTGAAGACGGACTTTGACGATATCAAATGGTTGACCTGCGTAAAGTTAGAATGAATCATACAGCACATCTTCATAAACCCATGAAGATTGAAAACAGTCATTATTCTTCAACGCACGTGATACGCCAATGATCTCGAAAACAGCAATTGCGAAGCCAAGACGAAGCCAAAGAAGACAGATACGGGTAAGAAACACATACCAAGCAGAACCTGTGCAATTCCTCCCATTGCGCCCGAGAACAAGTCCTTCGCCACGCTGGCGGACCTCTCGTCCGTACCCTCCAAATCAGCCATTGTATCTCTTCCGCGACGCTACTCCCAGTGCAAAGTTCAGGGCAGGCAATGCTCGGTGGGAGGGGAGCGTGGGAAGAAGATAAATCAATAAATGGAAATGAATTGAAAGAGTCAGAGGAGGCGGGACGGAAAACTATATCAAAAATTCGGCCAGATAAGCGCGAGACGCAGCACGGATCTGCAGGTACTTTAGATGCGGGGATTGGTGGTGTGGAGGGCCAAATGATGCCATTTGCTCAGGGTTGCCACTTAGTGGCTGTTTTTCGGGTGTTAAAACGACGACCGACCGTTAAAACGGACTGAAGACGCGAAATGGCCGCCGCAAATGGACACAACATAAAAAGGCATCAGAATTGATAATTTCCCTATGCGGCTCTCTCATGGGTATCGTTAATTTAATTTACTTTATTTACTATTTACTAACTCATGGTACGACTACCAAAAGTCACTTCTTTCCAGGCCAGATTCCATTAGATTGGAAGCCCGTTACTTGCATTTATACTATCGGGTTGGCATCTCCGAGTGCATGAGAAATCATCTCTTCCGTTCAGCTAACGTCTCCTCTACGGCAGCCCACAGATTTTCTCGCAGCTCTCGCTCGTGAGTGAACATGACCTCCAGTTTATCTTGTATCTTTTTCTTGCCAGCCCGAGACTTCTCTGGCAGTGGGAATCCATATTGCTTCCAGAGCAACCCCGCGCATTCCTCTCTAAATTTCGTAATCGTTTCTCTGAGCAGCCCATCAAGTTCAACCCGCGCATCTTGCACCGTCGTAACTACTTCTGGGAGCAGCTCGCCCGTCGTGATAAGCGTATAATAGGCGCGAACGTCAAAGAGGCCGCCCCGATTGCGGAGCTCCGAGAACGTCGTCCACATCCGAGTGAAGTCGAGCGCCGCTGCTTGGCGACTTCCGGAGATTTCGTAGGCAAGGATGAGATTCTTCAGTAGAACCAGGTTCTTTATAGCGAAAATATACGAATCAATCTTATCCTTCCTTGCAACCTCTCCTGACGCTCTCATAATAGACAGGGATGTCTCGTGAATGATTTCATATGCCATTTCACCCATACCCTGTAATGCGTTAGTAGGAGCAAACTCATTTGGAGGAACAGACTTACCATGCCAATATTAGCGTCAAATGTTAAGTCGTTGTTGAGAATGAGCAGCTGAGCACCGGTTTTCAGAGGCTTGTATGAATTTGAAAATCCATCACCCAGGGCCTTATACGCTCGGCCATCTATATCTGTATCCGCAGGTTCGAGTAATGCGTCACTGGCATCTTCACCAGATCGGTTTGCTTCGGCCGGTTGCTGCGTCGAGTTCTTTGGCTCAAGGTCTTCGGGTTTGGGGAAGAATCGAGATACATTGGCATATAGCATCTCCTTGATTCGAGTAAATATAACCTGGGTGGTCTGTTTCTTTAGCTGGCCCGCCAGGTGTATTTTGAGCTCTCTGTTGCCATCTGGAATTTGTGCCCCGTCAAATGATTCGTCGTCATTCCCATCAGCTGAAGAGGCGTAGCTGTCCAGCCAGAGCGCGAGTTGCGTCGTTGTCGTTGTGTCGGCCCGTTGAATATGAGGTTCGAGAACTCGAAATGCCAGTGAACAGAGGTCTTCTAGGTATTTTGTTTGGGATTCTTGGCTCTTCCAGATCTTGTGAAAATCGGTTCGTCCCTTATTGTGTGTACGCCTATTGCCGGAGAAAAAGAGGCCATACTTTGAATATTCATTCATGCACACTTCTAAAGTAGTGTTGAAACAAGCGCGAGCGTATTTACCAAACTCTGTTTTCGGATCGTGATCCTCAGCAATTGTGCCATTGAGAACTTGACCCAGAACTTCGCTCATGAGACCCTTTCTAGACAGCACGTACTCATCCATCAACGATTTGAACAGAGTATAGTAACCGTCGGCAGTCTCCTTGCCCCCCTGAAGATCGTGCTTTATCGAATGATCATACACAGGCCTTGCCATAAATATTATGTGCTCGATTGAACGTTCCAAGCGACTCCCGGTAGGATGGATGTCGGGCGCCTGTATTAGGTATACTGTAGTGGTGTTCAACTTGGTAGCCTTGCTCAATATAGCTCGAGCCTCCGTTTGTTTGGTACGAATCGAATTTGTAAATGAAATCTGCAACAAGCTGAGAGTTCTAGTGAGAAGAGTCTGGTATCGGGTCAGGTATGTCTCCGATTCTTTATGTTCTGGGTGTTGGCGCATAAACACTATGCAGGCATCGAGGTTTGATAATATCTCCACAAAACTCTCGTCGCCAATCATGGTAGATGCTCCCGGGGCATTCAGACGCCGGGTAATGGGCTCCAAGTATGAGTAATATTGCAGGTCGGTCCCAACTTCGTCTGCGAGATCCTTTAGACGTTTTTGTTCCAGAAGAAGATCCTCACATTGCGACTGGAACGAAGCTGTTTGCGCCTCCACCGCTTTAAATGAGTCCGACAGATTCGACAGTAAATCCAAAGCTCTTGAGGTATCCTCCACCAAGTTATCCAAATGTCGTTCTGAAAGCGCCAACTGGTCTCTGTAAAGCTGGAACTCATCCTGGCTCACATCTAACAGTACCGCGTCATCAATCTCATATCTGCCCTCGTACGATGCATTATCGCCACTCTCTAGCAACTTCAAAGCTCTTAGCTCTTGCTCTCGGATCTTCCTGGCCTCCTTGGTGATCTGGGCGTGGGCAACATGGTAGAAATCGGTGTATGACTTCGCCCTACGGGCAATGGTAGCCTGTGGCGGGCCCTTACTTAAAGACTCCTCTTCGTCCAAGGGCTCTAGGGGATTCGCTGGTTGAAGGTCGCTCTCCTGAATCATCTATCAGTCCCGCCCAATGTAATATGTGGTAGGAGGGTACCTACATTTGGTTGCTTCAAAAGTGATTCTTTCCGCCGATGGGTAAGCTTATGCCCCGAACTTTCATCTTTCTTCGGCTTCACGTCTGGCACAAAACTGTACCAAGTGTCCTCGTACATTGCGAGTGGATTTCCACCAACAATGGGCAATATAACGGACGCCGTGTTGCAGTGAAGCTGTCGTATTTGGAGGGATGGGGCGGTCTGAGGTGGCAGTTACTCGTGGTGGACGGCGAACTGTCCCTAGACCCAAAGCCCGCTAACCACAAACCGTAAGGCTCTTTGCGGGGAGCTCGGCCGCCGTCATGACGACAATATAGTGTTTATTCCGGGGTCTACAATTTTTTGGGGCGACTTAACTTTCTCAACAGTATAAGGTAATATTCAGATCCAATGAGTTATGTTGATGGCGTACTAACTGTAAATTTCAGGTTCAGCCAAAATGCCTTTATTAACGGGAATCAGGCCGTTGTACAGAAGGCAAAATGCCTCTGCCATACTGAGAAACATTCGACAAGCACAGGGCTACGGCAGGAGATATACTAGTGATGGTGGACCGCCAACTCCTGACAGGTCAGCCGCTATACGTCGAACTGGATTACTGGTATCGGCAATCGTAGGAGCTGGAGCCGTATATGCGATTTCCTATTCAAGGGCACCACCAGAGACAAAAGCTCCAAAACCTCAGATCCCTCATGCTGAATTGACATTCGAGGAAGAGAGGAAGAAGCCTGCATCTGCGGAGGAGAATAGGGAGGCGATTAGCCCCCAACACATACAGATCAAGAAGAGTTGGGAGAATCCGGGTGTATTTGCGTGGGGATCGAATACCGGCCATGTCGTTGCGCCGGAATCGAACGAGCCTGCGATTAAAGTGCCAAAGAGGATCGCATACTTTGATGGCCTTGTCTTGAGAGATCTAAAGCTTGATCGCAACTTTGGAGCGGCAGTCACTGAGAATGGAGATGTCTTGCAATGGGGTGCCGGCTACTCTACAGACTTGCCAGGCCCGACTCCGACCCTTACCGGAAAGAACATCACAAAGATATCACTATCTGGCGACCGGGTCATAGCACTAGCCAAGAACGGTTCGGTGTTCTCTCTGCCCGTTTCCCGCAAGGCCCAGCTCGAAGACTCAAAGCCTAAACAAAGCAGTCTCTTCGGGTGGGGCTCCAAGTCCCCTCTCAGCTACGAAGAGATCAAGCTTCCTAACCTCAGCTACGGAGAGAAGGTCACCGATATCAGCACCGGCCAAGAACACTGTCTACTTCTCACAAGCTCCGGCCGCCTCTTCTCCTCCGCCACCTCCCACGCTTCCTTCCCCGCCAAAGGCCAACTCGGCATTCCAGGCCTAATGCGCTCCGTTCTCCCAGCCGGAGAGGTGTTCCACCACCCTGCTCACGAAATCGAGGGCCTCAAGGGTATTCGCATTTCCAAGATCGCAACCGGCGACTACCACTCCGTCTGCTCCGACGACCTTGGCCGCGTCTTCACATTCGGCGACAACTCCGCCGGTCAACTCGGCGTCGAGCCCACCCCCCAAAAATCCCACCTCGACGCCCCCTTCCTCCTCCCAGTAGATAAACTCTACGCCGGCTCGAACCTAACCCCCTTCGTGACCAACGTCGCCGCCGGCGGAAACGATACCTTCTTCACCGTCGACGCCAAGCCCAGCGCGTCTAACCTCGATGGCCCAGGAGGCGTTCAGATCAGCCCCAGGATCACGGCTGATACCTGGAGCTGCGGGACGGGGATCCACGGCACCCTCGGTAACAACCGGTGGACGCACATCCAAGGCGCCCCATCGAAGATCAAAGCCCTCTCCGGGCTCTGCGAGTACGACGAGTCTACCAACGCCACCGTGCCCATCCGCGTCGGCCGCCTGAGCATCGGAACAACCCACGCATCCGCGCAAATCTCCAATGTAACGAATGTCGTCACCGATGGCGATAATGAGACCAATTACGGCGCAGACGTGCTGTTTTGGGGCGGTAACGAGTTCTTCCAGCTCGGCACGGGGAGACGCAATAATGTTAGCGTGCCGACGTATATTGCGCCGCTAGATGCGAGGCAGGATAGGGATATTGGGAAGAGGACGGATCATAGGTTTCAGGTTGCGCCGAGGAAGAAGATTGTTGTTGGGGGGAGGACGGTGGAGGTGGAGCAGAGGGTTGAGTGTGGGAGGGGGGTGACGGCTGTGTATAGCGCTGTATGAAGGCGGGTGTTTGTATGAATAGGTGCATTATTAACGATTCGGGATTTGGAACAGGGCTGTATAAAAGTAGTGGGGGGTTGATGGGAGGTTGACAGGCTCCCATTGGTTGTGTATTGGTAGTTTGAAGTTGGATACGAAAAGGGGTCGCATCTAGGGGGTCTATGTTATGGGATAGTTCTGACTCTATATAAGCGGATGTTCTATTGATGGTGTCGTGGGAGTTGGTATATACTATCTATACCATGTTAAATATTGAAATTAATATATTCCACTCAAATATTGTTTTCACCCTCAATTCCATATTTATTACAACACAGAGAGAAATCTAGAGAAGGATTATATTTGCTAAACATCTGTAACACAGAAGCAGGCCTAATCCTGCCAAGTTCCATGCTACAAACCTCTCCTCCAAAAAAAATAACTAATTTTGTGTTTTTTTTATCATCCACCCTCCCCGTCTAGGCACAGGCTCATCGTCTCAGATCGTACAACAAGTGACCATCATTGTCTCTAAATCATCCCATCATAAACATCATCGAGCATTTGCACTGCCAGTGCAGCTCGTGATAGATGACATGCACCACCCCCCAACCGCCCCCCGACCGCGCCATTAAACAGAACAGGTAAGAAAAAGGCCGGGTAAAAAAATCTCTATCCCTGTAAACGCCATGCCGAATGTTGTCCCATAAAGCAGAGCAGCTAAAGGATCCAGGACATCTTCTGGAACCTCGCTCAGTCCAAACGCCAGGGCACCCCGCCGCCGCCGCCGCCATCATCGCCTCCATACACTCCACCTCTCCCGTCGTCGTCGTAAGATATGCCCCAGAAGAAATTCCCTTCAATCTCATTCCACGCTACGCGCGTAGCCCAGATAGACAAAGATTCATATGGTACAAGCTAGAAGAAACTATTTGGCACGCTCGGAAGCAACTTTGTTGTGCAGACTGTCAAGTCCACCGCCAAAGCGGGAAGCCAAACTCCAGGTAAAGTGAGTCGTAACCCCGTGGAATCAAATAGAAGCCCAGCTCCTGAGACACTGGTGCTCGCCTACCCATTCCACTATTAGGGTTGTCCAAAAGAAATATAAATATGTACAAGGCAACAAGAACCATCCAGTCACCGCCAGACCGCAACTAGTGCGGTCTACGATGGTGGAGGTGCTTGGCCTCTGCCGCCTCTTGCGCCATCGAATCCGCGGCCGCGGCCGGGCTGAGCGCCGACTCTCGCATTGCCTCGGGAGAAGTTTTGGTTACGTTGGCCTTGGGGTTGGTTTGTTGGCTGGCGCTGTCCCTGGGGTTGGCCTTGTTGTAATTGGGCCGGGGCCTGGGCTTGTGCTTGGCCCTGAGGCTGTGCCTGGCTGGACGGGCCTTGACGTCCATTGCTGTAGTTTGCCGGTGCCTGACCGCCACGCTGTTGAATCTGCAGTTGCTCCCTTGGAGGTTGCTGGCGTGGTGCAGGGTTGGAAATCGGGCGCGGGATGCTCTCGGGCGAATCGTAAACGTATAGATTCTTATCAATCATGGCGGGAATAGGCTGGATCTCGGTGCCCAGTTCCTTCTCAATGTTGTACAGGTTGAAGCGGTCGTCCCAGTTGATCAGGTTGATCGCCAAACCAAGATGTCCGAATCGACCAGAGCGACCAATACGATGGAGATAAGTTTCGGCATTTTTCGGGAAGTCGAAGTTAATGACGACATTGACGGCCTGGATATCAATACCACGGGTGAGTAAGTCGGAGCAGACAAGGTTGCGGCAGACTCCGTTACGGAAGTCGTGGAAAACACGGTTGCGGTTAGCTTGAAGCATGCGAGCGTGGCTGTAAAAGCAGGAGTATCCCAACTCTGTGATTTTCTTGGCGAGAAGTTCGACACGGTTTGTGGAGTTGCAGAAGATGATAGATTGGTTGATTTGAAGCTTCGAGAAGAGTGTGTTCAAGCAGTGGACTTTCTGCTTCTCTTCAACGAAGGCGTAATATTGGGTGATACCGCGGAGGGTGAGTTCGTCCATGAGGTTGATTTCGTATGGCTGGTCCATGTTCTTAACGGAGAAGGCCTGGACGGATCGAGGGAAAGTTGCGCTGAAAAGCATTATTTGGCGGTCCTTGGGATGGAATTGAAGAAGCTGCTCAATGACAGGTGTAAATTCGGGAGACAAAAGCTTATCAGCTTCGTCCATGATGAACATGGGGCATTCGCTGAGATCTGCAACACTCTTGCCTGCAAGATCGAGGATTCGTCCTGGGGTACCGACAACGATGTGAACGGGTTCGGCGAGGCGGACAATATCATCTCTTAAACCGGTACCACCGGTTGTGACCATGACATTTACACCAAGATGTTTCCCAAGAGTCTTGCAAACTTGAGACGTTTGGAGAGCAAGCTCGCGGGTTGGGACGAGAATAAGACATTGGATTTTGGAGCTCTTGGGGTTGATGCGTTCGAGCGCCGGGATAACGAACGCAGCGGTTTTGCCGGTTCCGTTCTTTGCACGGGCAAGGATATCTCGGCCAGTGAGTGCGACTGGGATAGCTTCTTCCTGGATGGGTGACGGCTTCTCGAATCCTGCCTCGAAAATCCCCATGAGTAGGTCGCGCTTGATCGAGAACTCCTCAAACTCGAGGCCCTTGGTCGCGGTAACATCCTAAATAGTTTAGCAACATGTCGCTTCTGCCAGCGAACGTGATACCGACCTCAGTTTGGTGTCTGTTGTCCTTCGCTGGGATCTTCAGTTTTTTCTTCCAGTCTGGGTCGTTTTGGCTGCTGCTGTAGACACTGTCAGTGACACAACTCTTACATAACGAAGCTTGTTATATCTCACCCTAATGTGGTGGACTCCAGCTTCCCAGCTAAAGCGTCCGCCATTGTGAAGTGAAGATGTGCTGGTGAGTATGGAAGGGGTTGATATTGGTAGGTCTGGTTATTTTGAAGCGTCGAGACGCTAGTTATGTGATGTTTCCTTTGTCGCCTTGGGTATCAAAGGGTTGCGGAAGAGGGCTTCTGGCTTGTTGCTTTGGGGGGCCAACTTGTGAAGTTGACGTTGACTGAGGGGTAGTGGGTGAGTAGAGTGGCTCGAGGCTCGGGTATTGTGGTTTGTGGTTGTCGCTGTCTGGGCGCCGGTTTCAGCGTGGAGTAGAGGGTTGTTGATACTGCTCGTGGTAAGAAGTTGGTGGTTGAGGAGGAGGATTTAAGGGCTGTTGATGATTGAATGTTTGCGTGTGTAAGTGTGTGTTCTTTTTTTCAGCCTCAAGAGTTGTGTGTTTGCGTATACAGGAAAGTTGAGGTTGGATTGATCCCTTAAGGTTTCCTCAAGGGAAGGTGAAGCTCAGCTCAGATTGGCTCATCAAGCGAAGATATAGTATAGTGCAGTACATACAAAGTACAGCTCACCGCCTAGATTTGCAGCTCTTTTAGGGCATAGTTCAGCAGTATAGTGTGGTACCGTGCAGTACCCTTACAGTTTACACCCTTGGGGAGTGCACGGACCAAGGGACCAACAGGTATGTGTATAGTATGCAAGTTATATACTGCACCTCTGGAAAGACAGTCTCATATAAATCGGATATACTAAAATTGAAGGCGACACCAATACTAACTATACAACAGCTGTAGAACCCTAAGCATGTTACAGGTTACAGCATATGACTGGTGACAGCATCTCGAATGAACTCCACTGAATGTTTAATGTTTAATGCCTCGTCAATCTCTAGTAAGTACTATATACCGCTCGTCCTGTAACTTAGTACTATACATATGGCCAGATGCAAGAACGCCCCCGATAATAAAATAACAAAATATGCCGTGTGCTAGATCACCTCACTTATAACATTGGCTTCAGATCATCCGCAACCTTGAATGGTGCCCCCGTCTTCGACCTGATCTCCTCGACTGTCACGCCATCCGCATGCTCGATCAGAGTCAAACCCGTTGCGAAGTCAACATCAAACACACCCTGTATCATGTTAGCAATATTCGACAGCAGCAATCTTCATCCCCAATGAGACTTACGAGTTCGGTGATGATCCTGGAAACACAGGCCTTTCCAGTCAATGGGAAGGCGCACTGGTTGACGATCTTGGCGTTGCCCTTCTTATCGGTGTGCTCCATCGTGACCACAACCTTGGTCATGCCTGGGTTGCTAACCAGGTCCATAGCACCTCCGAATCCCTTTATCTTACCTGGCAACATCCAGTTGGCCAGATCGCCAGATGCGCTGACTTGCATAGCACCAAGGATGGTCAGGTTGACACGGCCGCTTCGGATCATTCCAAACGACTCCTCGCTTCCGAATACGGCCGCACCAGGGTTCAGAGTGACGGTCTCCTTACCGGCGTTAATGAGATCCGCATCCTCCATGCCCTTCACTGGGTATGGGCCAAGACCAAGAATTCCGTTCTCGGACTGCAACTGGACCTCGACTTCTGGCCCGACAAAGGCTGGGGCAAGCATGGGCATGCCGATGCCGAGGTTGGCGTACATTCCGTTCTTGAACTCCTTCGCGGCCCTTCTTACGATTCTCTCTCTCTTTGCTGCTGCCTCGCCGCTTCCGAGTGCCTTCTTGGCGCCCTCCTCGCCTTCGTTCTCTTCCTTCTTGAAGGTATACTTCTCGATTTGCTTCTCCGAAGTAGACTGAATAACGCGCTTGACGTAGATACCTGGGAGATGGACAGCTTCCGGGGCAATCTCTCCCGGCTCGACGATATGCTCGGCCTCGACAATGGTCATCTTTGCGTTACGTCCCATAGCACCGTTGAAGTTGTTTGCAGTAAGTCTGAACTGGCAGTTACCGAGCTTATCGGCCTTCCAGGCCTTGACAAAGGCGTAGTCACCCTTAATGCTCTCCTCCAAGAGGTATGACTTCCCATCGAAGACCTTAACATCCTTAGGGTACGAATACTCCTTTGGAGTACCGTCTGGGTTGTGGCGAAGCGGCAGCTCTCCGGTCTGGACAACGGTTCCAAAGGCAGCTGGGGTATAGAAAGCTGGAATGCCCTTGCCACCAGCGGCACAACGCTCTGCAAGTGTTCCTTGTGGGGTAAGTTCCAGCTCAACCTCGCCAGTGAGATACATGGATTCGAATGTCTTGTTCTCGCCGATATAACTTGCAACCATCTTCTTGATTTGTTTCGACTTGAGAAGCTTGCCCAAGCCCGAGTTGTCGGTTCCGGCATTGTTGGAGACGGCTGTCAGGCCAGAGATGTGCTTGTTCTTCAAGACCTCGTCGATCAGGGTATCCGGAACACCGCAGAGTCCAAAACCACCACAGAGGAGGGTGGAGTTCGCCTTCATGTCCTTGATGGCTTCCGCGGCAGATGGGAGAACCTTGTTGATCTCAGCTCTCCTGGAAGTCGACGCAAACGTGCGAGCAAAGAGGATGGCATGCTGTAACAAGAGTTAGCAAACTGAACCTCAATTAGCAAATGGGGTTTCGGTACGAACGTTGCTATGTTTGGTGTACGCCCTTGCGGTACGCATGCACAGCGTTGCAGACGGCATTGTGATATATGTTTTATTGAGGGAGGACAAGGTGCTAGATTAGAGGAATGATCCTACAGTTCACCAATTCAATGCGACTGACAGGTAGAATTATAGAATTTATTTTGCAATATGTAGGAGAGAAGATAGATCGGCTAAGACTGAGAAATGGCACCCGGTAGCTCTTATGTGCTAGGAGTCGCACGGGCAGCGGCGGAAGAAGCATTATGCGGGGAGACGGTTACCCTCGCGGAAAAGGCTGGCCCTCGGCATCACGATCCGGGGAACCAATAGGATGTCAAGGAGGCTCTCAGCCTCGTGCGGAAGGCTCCGAAAATCGCAGCGGAGGGATGCCGCGTTTGACATATGCACGAGGCCCCATCAGTCACAGAGCATTCCGTTGTGACAACTATGGACTACTTATCACATACATAACCATATCAACGATGCGAATATTGTCTATGAACTTGTTGTTTATTCAATCCCAACAATATAGTAAGTTAGATACAAAGAGACCTAGGGTATCAGCGCCTCAATTCTATTTTGAACACCATATCCCCTCCCAACCTTGCCATTTCCGACATAATAGCATCTTTGTCGATTGCAACCTGACCCGCCGTTTCTTCACTACCACCCAGGGCTTTTGTTGCATAGGGCATATTGACCTTAAACGCTCTCGTCGCTGTCTGGGGGCTCCAAATCCCAGCAATGACATTGCTGGAGGACTCGTCGTGGAACAGAACCATTGTGGTAGTGTACAGTGCCCTCAGCTCTTCAACGTACAGTCTCGCCGGCTCATATCCAACATAGAGTAGATCTTCTTCTGTTTGGATATCCAAGTTCTTGAACTTAGCTGTTTTGGCATCCCTCTTGCCGCGGCGAGATCCGGCAAACTTGGGAGACAGGTAGATAACGAAATCGTAATCGCCCAGCGAAGGCACGAATAGTGTCTTGGGATCAAGTTGCAGCCCCTCTTCCTTCAGGAGCTTACAGGCAGATCGCGCAAGCGCGGTCATGCGTGATGCAACGACCTTTGATGGCATACCATCTGTAAACGTCGTCCCGGATACATCGTGGTTGGTAGCCGCGAAAAGCACAACACGGTTCATTCCCGGGTCGACTTCGCGCCACGCCTCAAGTCGCACGTTGATGGCGGAGATCTCTTTGCTAGTCATAATTCCACCAAAGTCCACAATCAGGGGCGTGTTGCGCCAGTCCCATCTGGCGATGAACTGGAGTGTGCGCAGGAATCCCGTCATGCTTGATGAAGGAGCGCGCCATGGGTAAGGCTGTAAGAATGTTCGGATGACGAGAAGCTCGATGAGCTCTTCCCTGAAGTGAGTGGAGAGCATATGCGCGCTGAACCATTTCTTAACAAGGCGCATGGTGGGAGACAGCAGAGGGAATCTAGTGCAGTGTGTCGCAACTGATTGTGTGTGAAGTGGTAACTGTAGGAACATGTACTTGTACTGTGCTAGCGCAGCAATTGCACTGTGCGCGTCGCTTGATTTGCTTTTGACTTGGTTCTCAAGTAGTGTTTGCTCGCGGTCGTTGTGGATTCTCAGACGGAAAACTGCACCAGATGGCTCAGTAATATCGAGGAACGGGTAGTTAAGAAGCGGCTCGTCGTGGTGTTCAAGACCAAGCTTTGCCTTGTAGCGTTGGCTAGTAAGCTCTAGCAACTCCCCGATTTTTATTAAGAAAGCAACCTTGGTACGTTGGATAGCCACAACATCGTCTGGCCATCTACCGGAGCCTTCAAAGGCGATCAACACCTCAGCAGGGTAGCGTAACGGGTTGCGGGGTCCGTAATCAGGCGCATTAATAAACGAGGAGCGTAGTTGTGCTCCGATAGGAGAGAGTTGCTTGAGCTGCAATGGTAGCTGTTCGAGATCTCTGATACTTTGTTCCAATGTCTTGAATGACTCCTTGAGAGAAGTAAATGCGGCCGTATCTGACACCGAGTCCGGTAGAAGGGCATCGAAAGAATCTCCAACGATAGACAGATCTCTATTGGGATTTAAGCCAATATGCCTGTTGAGAATATACGCAATAATCTGTTCGAATATCGACGCATTAGGGGTCTTCGTCCACACCAAACTTTCAAGGATACTGCCATCCTTAAAACGACGCAACTCCGACTTGTTGCCCCAGAAGTTACGGAACGTCTCTGCTGCTTTTTTGTCTTCGGCAGCTGGCCCATGGTCAACAGCCCTGTGAATATGTTCTGGGTCGAAAACAAGGCCAACTTGAATATGAGGAGAAGGTGATGGCGGTGAGCTCTTTGTCTTCCAGCGCGAATGGTCGTCGAATTTGACATGAATAAGCTTCACCCTGTCACCTAAAGCTTCCTTCAGGACGTTAAATATTTTCGAGCTTAACAGCCAATTATTAGATCTGCGATCTTGAGGACTAACAGTTCCAGTAGCGCTGGAGCCATCGATTTTGATGACGCTGTCAAACTGTTGGAGAGGGTTGTCTTTCTTGAGAATAAACGTAGCCTCAAACTGGTCGAAAACTTCGTCATTCAGCATGTCGAGGGAAACCTGTGCTTCTTGTCGGAGCATGTCGTAAGACGAAGCTGACATCTTAAATAATACATTGTGCCCTCTTGGGCCATCGTAAAATGTTGGTAGGTGTGACTTAGGAATGGGGGGATCCCCAGCCTGAATTAGAGTTGGTGTTGCCACCATGTTGCTTGTGGCTAGATATTGCACCATGCCCTTGAAGAGCTGATAGCTGTTATAACCGGGAGACAGGGCCTTGCGGCCCTTTGGGCCACCTCCTTGTAGCAATAGCGCAGTCAACGCGGCCCATTCAAAATTTCCAAAGCCACCATCCGAAACAGAGCTTCCAAATCCACGTTGGCGAAGCCAGATACGGCCAAGGACGCAAGCGTCTACGAAGCCTTCGGACGATTTCACAGTTTGGTGCAAGAGCTTCAAATAAGCCTCGTGGTTGCATTCAACTTGCAGAGTTGCATTGTAAAATGGGGTAGGGGCTGGAGCAACGGTCTCGCCAGTTGGCCCAGCTTTAGGCCGGATGGAATTCTTCGTGGGGTGCAATTTGCTGTCAGCAAAAAACCCCTTAGGGCAAGCAGGAATAATGCGTATCTCGCAACGAGACTTCGAGAATTCCGTGGGCTCACCATCTGTCTTGTATTAGTAGGGCATTTAATTAAGATTGGTGGGAAGGGACGCTTACTCTTTCCTGGTTTCACAACCAGAACAGGCTGCAAGTCGTTTCCGTGGAGGTTCTCCATGCTGAGATCAAATGGCTCCTCTTCCTCATTTTGTAGCCCTGCAGCAATGCAAGCAAGATAATATGCCCTCTTATAGAAGTATCTGTAGTTGAGATAGTCCTTTTCTTGCAAAATAGACGCTGGTATGGTCACAACCATATCAATCACCATTGTACTGTCTGCCTTTTCCATGGTCTTCAACGGATAGCTGCCCACAACGTTTACGTTCGACGGCTTCGCATATGCCAATTTGTAGGCTGTTGACTTGTCAGGCCTGGGTTCTGGGAAAGGCACCATAACCCTATGGGTTTTCAGTAAAACTTTTGTCGCATCATGAAACTACATAACAGTTTAGCACATGGTATTGGATTCCAAAGTTGGCGCAGTTGCTTACTGGCATTTCTTCACGGTCCGGAATGGCCTCTATGAGTGTTTTCAATTTTCGCAAAACGTTACCAACAAGACCCAGTCGCTTTGCGTAATTTGGCTTCACTTCCACTAACATCTCCTCTACTTGAAGCTTGAACAGACTTGAATTGTATGCATCTCCCGTGAAAGGTGCAGCAGCGCTGCTGGTTTTATGCGATTTCATTGTCGCAGCCGTTCCGCTTGGGTTTTGTGTCGCCGCCGCGCCCATTGGAACGGAGGGATTGGAGTCATCGCTAGCCTGGGGCATTTCAGCTGTTGTATCAAGCTTGCGCCTTTTTGTCGTCTGCGGCTCCATTGAATGGGAGCCAAAGGGCTCGGTGGGGATAAGAGGTAGTTCAAGGTTCTTTCGAGTATCAATATCAAGAGAAAGTATGGATTTGAGATTCAGTTTTTGATGGTCCAAGCGTTTCTTATCTTATCGGACAATCGGGCGGACCAGGCCAGGTGGGTGGACCAGAGGGGCGATGTCGGTGCCGAAATGAGTCGGACGACCCCGCGACTATTTTAATTGCTTCTTTTACAACAAGAAAAGCCTCGAGTTTACACATATTTTTGTGCGAACATCGATCCAATATGCCTCCAGCGGCCGTGGGAGAGACTATTCCCGCGAACACTTCACATGTGAGCGTTTTTCGATATACTACCCACCATGCCCCGCCCAAATTTCTGGTAGGCCGGAGTGTTGATTAGAACGAACACAGGCTGTCAGCGTTTCTCTTCCAACATGGAAGGCCAACGTCGCATATGAAGAGGGCGAGCCATGGGTTATAGACAATATGAAGACTGGCTATCCAAGGTTAGATTTCTCACATACCCTCCACGAATTATTACCGACTAAACATCCTCAGATTTTTCGTCAATAAACTTATCACCGCGTTGGCCGAAGACATTGTTAAGACCTATGGCAAAGATGGAGAGCAAGCGATGCTATTTCCTGGCCCCGGGGCGGCCAACAGATGCCTGGACTTTGTTCTTCGAACGGAACCTTCCATACCGCGAACAAGTATTCGAATAGTTGATCTTGTCATGGACCCCAAGAAAATCACCACAGAGAGCCTGAAGATCGCAGCGCCGTCTGTTTCCGCCGTTATATTTCCGAAAGAGTTCTTCTCTGTGGCAAAACAGTACTGGCAGCATTCCGGAGATGGTATTTCAAGTCGACGGGGAGAATTCTGCCATGGCTTGCTACAGGAAGGTCTCCTAGTTGAGAAATCCACTCTGAAGCATGCAACCGAAGAACAGCAAAACTTTCACAAGGGCCCTAAGAGATATAGGAGAGGGATGTCGATTGATAAAACATGCAGCCCTCCTAAAGTTGGTGGTCTGTCTTCGAATGGGACTGGTGAGAAATCACCCGGTGTGAGCAATGCGGACAAAGAGTTCTCGCAATTTGTGGAAGAACGGTTTGGCCGCAATCTCGATGTAACGTTCCTCGGCAATGCTAAGTCTGCAATTAAGAGGCGAATCGCCGGTTCTTTGGTAGGGAGTGTTGATTTGAGTACTGGTTTCAGCAGTACGATGGATGCTAGCGCACGGGGTGTGAGTGGGCTTTCTGAAGACGACGTGTATTTATACCCATGCGGCATGAACGCCATCTTCAATGCCCACCAATTATTATTGCAGGCCCGAGAACCGCTGAAGAGCATCTCCTTTGGGTTTCCATATGTAGACACACTCAAGATCTTGCAGAAGTTTGGACCTGGCTGCCTCTTTTATGGAAATGGATCTTCTGAAGATCTGGACGACCTCGAGAAAAGGCTTCAGAGTGGCGAAAGATATCTGGCTCTCTTTGCAGAATTTCCCGGAAACCCTTTACTGCAATCGCCCGACCTGCTACGGATCAGAAAGCTCTCTCTCCAGTACGATTTCGCAGTCGTGATAGACGAGACCATTGGCAACTTCATCAACATCAATGTTCTACCTCACGTTGATATTGTCGTAAGCAGTCTCACCAAGATTTTTACTGGCGAATGCAATGTGATGGGAGGAAGCGCAATCTTCAACCCAACAGGACCATACTACTCGAAATTGAAAGAAATTGCGAAGACACAGTATGAGGACAATTACTGGGCCGAAGATGTTTTGTTCATGGAGCGAAACAGTCGAGACTTCATATCTCGAATCGACAGAATCAACCACAACGCAGAGGTAATCTGCGACCTGCTAAGCTCTCAATCCGTTGTCAAAAAGGTGTACTACCCGAAATGCGTTCAGTCTCGGGAATTTTATGATGCCTGCCGAACTCCGACAGGTGGATATGGTGGTCTCCTCTCAGTCACCTTTAATACAAAGGCCCAAGCAGTTGCCTTTTTTGATCGCATCGACACAGCTAAGGGTCCCAGTTTGGGTACGAACTTCACGTTGACCTCGCCATACGTGGTTCTGGCTCACTTCATGGAGTTAGACTGGGCCAGCCAATTCGGTGTTGATCCAGATCTGGTTCGTATAAGCATTGGTCTCGAGGAAACAGCGCTCTTGAAAGAAGTGTTCGAGCAAGCTCTTACGGCTGCAAGAGAAGCCTAGACGCCGTATTCAACGTTCAGGCCTTGGATAGGCCATGAGAAGTGTGAAGGGAAAGACGCATGGAAAAAGACATGTTGGAGCTATCCAGCCCCGTTATACCAGGCATGAAATCAAATAAGAATCTGCCACCCTTATAAGATGAATCGCAAGGGTTCAAATCGTTTATAGCTATAAATAAGACCAGGCGAAAGCTTTCATGGGATTTAAAGCTGTATTCCCCGAGCATATACCCGAACAATATAGAACAGAACCGATTCGGCTCCAAGTCGCACGAGGTGCCCATGTGAATTCTATAACTTAGATTGGTAGCTAGTGAACGGGCCCATAATAATTTACAGCCCATGTGTATCTTAATTGTAATGTACAATGTACTGCATTTCGTATGTAACTTCATGAATGTTTGCGGGATCATACATACCAAATTTGTATCTGACGATGCACGTGTTGTCGTGAACCGCGTCAAATTCCCAGACGCGCTCTCCCTAACAACGCCACCTTTCAGCCTTAAGGGTCCAAGCTAGCCGCGCCTTTGTCAAAGCCCACTTCTACTTTAGACTTTGACGGACATACGACTCATGGAGGACTAAGCACTACTTTACACAGTGACAGTTGCTATACTAGTGCCGAAAAGTCCACACCCGGCCAACACTGGTGAGGGGCATGGCACCTATAAAGCGCGTCAGGGCGCATATTGACGATGGAGACCTCATCTCCGTGGAAACCGCTACCTCCAGCTTGCGCGCCGAACCAGTAAGCCTCTCTTGTTTGAATATAGCTACCAGCTACATTCCCCCGCATGCCAGCTAACAGAATTACAGCTGCGAAAACGTGTGCGTTCCTCCGGTGTAACTCCAAGCACTTCTCGCCCCCAACAGGGGCGGTCAAGTTCTCCCTCCGACGTCGAAGAATATGTCGAGCCAAGCCAGGGCACGGGGGGTTTAGCTGCAAGCACTCAATACGAACTCGACAGAGATGCCGACTTCGCCCACCTTGAGAATGAGGATATTTACGATGAGCGCGCGACACGGCGCATACTGGCTCGGAGCAAAGCGATTGGCGCGAACCGGGCGGCGGATAATGGAATAATCGAAGAAGTTATAATGACAAACTTCATGTGCCACGAGAAACTGCATGTCACCTTGGGGCCTCTGATCAATTTTATCATCGGGGAAAACGGAAGCGGCAAAAGCGCCATTCTCACCGCAATAACGATCTGTCTAGGTGGAAAAGCGAGCGCAACAAATCGCGGAGCCAGCCTCAAGAGTTTCATCAAGGGAGACCGAGAGCAAGCGAACCTGGAGATCAAGTTAAAGAACCAAGGGAGCGACGCCTATAAGCCTGAGTTGTTTGAGAACTCGATTATAGTCGAGCGGCACTTTTCGAAATCGGGCACGAGCGGGTTCAAGCTCAAGAGCGCTCAGGGGCGCCTCATCTCGACCAAGAAATCCGATATTGAAGATATAACCGAATACTTCCAACTGCAAATAGAAAATCCAATGAGCATATTGACCCAGGATAGCGCAAAGCAATTTCTCAACGCCGCTGCGCCAAGCCTGAAGTATAAGATGTTTCTTCAAGGAGTCCAGTTGGAGCAGCTCGATAATGACTATCGTCTTGTTGCGGAAACAATGGAAGTGATGGAAGCCAAGATAAAAGGGCAAGCACAAGCTTTAAAATCTTCCGAGAAAAGAGTTGAACGAGCAAAAGAGCGTGCAAATACCGCAGAGAAGAATAAAGATCTGCGAAATTCCCAACAGAAATACCTCAATCAACTTGCCTGGGGCCAAGTTGAAAATGAAGAACGGCAATTACAAGAATTGCAGGAGATCGTTGATGAGGCTCAGCGCAATATTGAAAAAGCCGAGAACAGTATTGAGAGCATGGACCAGGAATACCAGAGGCACGATGAGGCTGTTGATAGGTCTGACGATGTCACACGTCAGTTGATGGAGGACATGTATCCTTTGAAAGAACAGGAGCGAGAAATGAAGGCCAATTGCGATGCCGCCAACCAGGAAGTGGCAAACATGCACCAGGAGTATCGACAAATTCGCGACTTTCTTACTGCTTCGAAACAAAAGGTTGCAAAGATAGAGAGTGATATAGCCGCGGAGAGGCAACGGATAGAAAATGCAAATGGTGGAGCCCATGCTGAAAAGATGGCGGATCTTACAGCTGCACAACAGCTAGCATCACAAGCAAGGCAGAATATGGTCGAACGTGCAGATGATTCGGAACTACAAGATTCACACCAGAAAGCTCTCAGGGAGTTCGAAGATTCGAAGGCGCCATTAAGACAGAAGCAGAGTGAGATCGAGCGTTGTCAAGAGCGACTATCATCCATATCACGCGACGCGGGACAGCAAATGGCAGGGTTTGACCAGAAAATTCCAAGGCTCTTAACCATGATTAAGAATGACCAAGGCTTCAACGAGACCCCGGTTGGACCGATCGGCCTCCATATCAAGCTACTAAAGCCTGTCTGGTCCAATGCACTAGAGAGGTCGATTGGAAATGTATTGAATGGCTTCGTGGTCACAAGCAAGGCCGATCAGCAGCGCCTCTCAAACATGATGCGCCAACTCAATCTTCAAAGATGCCCCATTATGATAGGCAATAACCAGCCTATTGACGTTCGTGGTCATGAACCTGACAGTCAATTTGATACCGTTCTGCGTGTCTTGGAGATCGACAACGAGTTGATCCGCAGACAGCTGATTATCAACCAAGGTATAGAACAGACGATTCTGATCGAAGAGAGACAAGCTGCAATGAGCGCGATGTATGATGGCGCCAAACCGCGAAACGTCAAACAGTGCTTCTGTCTGAGCGATAGTCGAAGGGGTTGGGGTTTAAGATTGGGGTATACAGGAGCTTCATCGGATAGAAGCGTTAGCCCTATTACACCTCCGGAGGGAAAGCCTAGAATGAAAACCGATATCGAAAGCCAACTGTCTCAGCAGAGGGCAATGCTACAGCATCTTCAGGGGGAATTAACTGAGCTTAAATCAAAAACCGATGCCCTTCAAAGAGTCATGAGGGGCCACGAACAAGCTATACAGAAGCACAAGCAAGCAAAGCGAAACGCCGAGAGGGAACTGCAAAAAGCCGAGGAAGCGATTGAGCGCAAGCAGGCGGCCCTCGATGAAGATAACGTGGAGGACGGGCGTCTGGAAGCTTTAAGGGACGATTTAACTGAAGCTCAGACCGAAGTAGAGCTCCACAAGGGAAGTTATGTCCAAGCACGCGTGGCTAGAGAGGGACAGGATGGCGTTGCTCGGACTCGTAAAGTCGCCCTGGATGCCATCAAGTCACAAATCGCGAATCACGATGTCACCATCAAGAAGGCAGAGGATAAAGGGAGGAGGCTTCGCCAGGCACGACAGATTGCTTTGCAAACTAAGAATTCCGCTGCGCAGAATGTGGAAGATCTCAAGGCTGGTAAAGTACGAGCTGAGGAGGAGAGGGATGCAAAGGCGGAGACTGTTGAAGAGTTCATTTCGCAGGCTAGAATGATTTGCGCTGAGCGTGTTCGCCTCGACCCAGGGCAGACATTGGCGAGCATCGAAAAGAAATACGAGGATATCAAGGCGGCAGTCAGTCGCCATGAGAGGTTAGCTGGTGGGTCTGATCGAGAGATATACGAGGAGTTCGCGCAAGCAACAGCATCACATGAAAACGCCGTCCGCCAAGCACGAAGTCTTGATGAGCTCCTCCAGACTCTAAAGGATAGCCACCAAAAACGTCTCCAAAGGTGGCGCCAATTCCAAAGCAACGTATCTGCGAGCGCGCGCATGCAATTCACATACCTCCTCAGCGAGCGCGGATTCCGTGGAAAGCTAACTCTCGACCACAAAAATAAGGCTCTAACTATCCGCGTCGAACCAGACGAAACCAAAAAGAGCGCCGAAGGCCGCGCCACAACAACCCTCAGCGGCGGCGAGAAATCCTTCTCCAACATCTGTCTACTTATGAGTGTCTGGGACGCCATGGGCTCGCCGCTGCGCTGCCTCGATGAATTCGACGTCTTCATGGACCAGGTGAATCGCGACGTCAGTACGAATCTGATTATCGGGGCGGCGAGAAGGGCTATTGGGAGGCAGTTTATCTTGATTACGCCGACGGGGATTGGGGGTGGGGCGGAGAGGGATGCTGATGTGAAGCTTATTAGGTTAGTTACCCTGGTGTTGAGGATTATTTATTACGGGGTTGATGGATGCTAACATGATACAGACTCACTGATCCCCGGCAACGACGAATTGACGACCTTATGACGAATACATGATCATCGCATTATGGCTTAAACGCACTTGAAATCCCTTGCTACGACGATGGACGATCTTCGCCTTCTATTCATATTCGGCATGTAGCTGATATGCCTTCATTTCTCTTCTTGTACAGTACTTTAGTTTCAGCATATGAAAATACTAATGGCTCAGCAAGCGCTTTCATTGATTGCTATGCGCCTTGAATATACCCTCTAAAGCTTCGAAGCCATGCCTGCTCATGATACAGTGATTTGAATATCGCAACCCATTCTCGCCGACCATCCCACTCTATTTTCAATAATCGAACAGCCATCCATATCATACAATCCACACCCCCCCCCCCCAGCTTGTTCATCATACAATCCTACCCCCTTCCCTCAAATCCTAACCCCCTTACTCCTCAACAAATTCACCGCCGCCCCCGCCTGAAAGCCAACCCACTCCCCCACCCCTCCCACCGCCTCCCCCACCACCCTACTATCCTCAAACCTCCTCTCCAAAAACTCCCTCGTCGCCCCAAACCCCTCACTGGCATCCGTACTCATAAACACCTCGCTCGCCGCATACACCGCCCCCAGACTCGCGCGCTTAGTGTACCAGCTCGAATCAACCGCCACGTCTCCCGCCAAAAACCATATTTCGTCAGAGAGAAGATGTAGTTCCTTCAGCGAGGGGCGGATGTTGCCGAAGAGTGACATGAGGGCTAGAGCTTCGGGGAGCTTGGATGCTACGCCGGCGTTGGCTTGGAGCCGCGCCCAGGTTAGGGCTTTGACTTTGGCGCCTACACCCGGTGGCCTGGTCTTGCTACTCGGATCCACGACGGGGTTTGTGATGTCGGTCCGCGAGGCGAGGGCCTGGCGCTGGGTGTAGAGGTAGTACTGCACTAGACTGAACGCACCCCCCGGAAAGAGGTTGGTAGACGCATCGAGGTATCCCGCGTCTTTAGCGCCGAGGTGGAGGGACGTGGGTGTGAAGCCGTGGACGGGGATGTGGGGGAGGGAGGAGGAGAGGATGGTGGTTTCGATGGCGTTGAATGGGCCCGGCGGGGGAGGGTGATCGCCGGAGTGGTAGGTGCGGGTGGTGAGGGTTGAGGTGAGGGGTGTGGTGGTGCGTGGACGCAGGCGGAGGAGGCGGAGGGAGGTCGCCATTGGGGTCGCCATCTGGGGTGAGGGTGTATTTGGCACTGAGAGGGTTGGAGGGCGTGGTAAGGGTTGTTGATGGTGGTTGTTGTCGGGTTTACTTCGGGGACCTGGGGGATTTTGGGGGTCGGTGAATTGATGATCCGCTGTCAGTTGGTGGTGGTGGCGGTGAATGCGCGGGTAGCCGGGTGGTGGTTACTGAAGGGCCGAGCTCAGGATGTGGTTTTGTTTCTACAGTACGGTTCTTGTATGGGAATGGTGGTTTTAATATACAGTCACGCCTATTAAATTTCTCAAGAGTTCTTATATTTTGAGAAACTGAAGAAAATAAGTACTTCTTGTGCCTCATAATATCGTCAGCCGGAGTGGAAGTCGTATTCCTTTTGTCGTCGTCGACGTCACAGATGCATATGTGTTGTGCTGTGTCGTATGCCGTATGCCATACAGCAAGAGTACAGTCTGTTGTTCAACATCCATATTCTAGACTATTAAATGCTCCACAGAGTGATAGAAAGGGGGTTCTCTGTTGACCCAGATTATTCTTCCTCCTAGCCCCGAATATCCGTGACCTTGGTGTCTTTTGCGACCTTGCTGTCTTCCGTGACCTTGCTGTCTGCTCTCTCTGTCTCATCTCAGCCACCTTGGTGTCTTCCAAAGTACCCGGCGGATAGAGTCAGTGAGTGAGTACCTGAATAGACCGTTGAGCCGTTGTTGGACCCGTCGACTTGCGTTGGCAATCAGTAACTGCAAGTGGCTAAAGTGAGGGCCGGATTGTGGACTGTGTGGGCGGGTACGGTGCCGTGTTATTTAGTAGTCTGCAGTAGCACCCGCATGCTGCATGTCCGTCCGTTCTGAAAGTGTGAAAGTGCGTGGTCCACCTTGGATGTCGTTATGTCCTGTTGGCGGCCTTTATCGGCGCAGCGGCTCTCGTAGTCTGCCTTTGCCATAAATGCCTCTCATTGCTGTGGGTGAGTGTGTTGGCTGTGAGCCTTGCCGGCGAGTGTAAGCTGTGCGCTTCATGTGCTGTGAGAGTTGGCTGTGAGTACAGGCAGAATGGCAGTGTCGCATTTAGGTGGATATGAGTGATAGGTGTCAGTCAGCCTTACCCGCCACCCACCTTGGATGATCCAACAGTATTGTTCAGGCGCATGGGAGAGAACAGGTATTGTGTGTGCTATGTGCCTGTTCAACTGTGCTGTGTGTGATACTCTAGAAGCAAGAGCCAGAGCAGGGAGTCTGCAAGTGGGTTTTATAGAGTACAGAGTGCCATAGAGAGAGTAACTAGAGAATATTCATAGAGAATATTTCAAGAGACATAACGGACCGAACATCAGCGCATATTATGGACTATGGTTATGGACTGGAGCTGTGTACTACAGACTGGAAACTGCTTCATACTGTACATACATATAATCTCCCATGGTGTTGATGCTGCACATGTACCCATATGAAACTACAATTACGTGTATGAAGTGGTAGAGTAGTTGAGTACTCTCTCCCACTCTCTCTGTTGCCTGTTCTACTGTTAACTTCCCTCTCTTACCTTCTTCCATCTTTCCTTCCTCTCTACTCTTTAAACTTCTCCTACTCTACTATACTCATCTCTCTTTACTGTTCAATTGGCAAAACTGTCATCTAACAATCCCAATCCCAACCCCAATCCCACCACCTGTATCAGTCGTGCCGCCAGTGCAAGTCAAGATTGTGCCCAAGAAGAGTACAGCGCAGGTAAGTACGCTGCTGTACCAAGAAAAGAGTACATGGAATACACTCCTGCAACCCCCATTCTTCCCTGTCTCCTTGTCTCTCACTGACAAGGACCTAGACGACCTAGACGACCTACAGGACCCTCCCAAAAGACCTCAAAGCCCTCAAAGCCTTCCTGATTCGGCCCACCGCGAGCACACCAATTTACCCACGCGTATGCCTGCATATCCCTCTGGCAGCCCAAGCCGAGAGACTGCCCATTCTGTGGATTCCATTCGTTGAACACGCGTCGGTAGGCCCATAGTCGGTCCATCTGTTGTGATCTGTTCTGGTGGCTAACCAACCCGCTGCTGTAGCATTCTTCACTTTGTACGACACAACTAGGCCGCTTACTACGACAAAGGGTCTTACAACAAAGAAAGGTGGAGAGACAAAGAGACTCAAGAAGACAAGAAGGCAAGAGACAAGAAGAGACACTTCCACGGCTAAAGAGAGGGTACTGTAAGTATCACCATCATCACCATCCTGCACATTACACTTGTCCTTTGTCCTGTTGTGTGCAGGCTAAGCGTGCTATGCGTGCCTGCTTTTACATACATAATAATACATACGTACAGTAGTTGCTGTACTGTATGTATTATTAGTGTATTAGTCCAGTCCTATTACTGTGTTTGTTACTGTACTGCGCTGTACTTCCGCCCTTTGCTCCTCCCTGGCTTCAAATCCATCCCATCCCATTATCCCCACCTCAATTCTTGACCACTCTGACCACTCCTGCTACCACCACCCACCACCTTACCTGCTGCATACTGTATCCCATACAGTCCCATACAGTATACCATACAGTTTATACGAGTACCTCCACTACTTCTTGTACTGTAACTATCTATTCCATTCTCCACCTTGCTCCATATGCTACAAGCCGCTACCTGTTACCCTATTGTCCTGTCTCCAATCTCCTAAACAAAGTCGCTAATCCGTCATTGGGGCCTCCAGATCGAAATAGCCCAGGTAGTAAGGCAAACAACTGGCCGGTACTCTAGTGTATCTCCCCCCAAGACACCCTCGCAATCAACCCATCCACCCATCATCCTTCCCCCGTCCCCCCGACAAAAACAGAAAACTTCTCCTGCGACGCGCCCAAACAGAACCACACCCCCCTCAATTCCCGATACTTACGATTTATACGGCTTTGTCCTTGTTCGATCTATTTGCCGAAATATCTCGGCCTGAAATCCTGTCGCGTCCGTTGACTTAATCCCGGATAACACTTTCCCTCCCATTCGTGCTTCCCGTCAGGCGCGAATCTTCTCGTCTTCCACACACTCGCTGTACACATCCTTGTGCAGCCCATCGCCCAGGAACATTTGAACCCGCGCATTCCTAGCTTCTGTCGTCCTGCAGCCTACTCGAAGGGTCTTGCAGCTCGGTGCCAGACGTTGTGCTTAATAGAACACTAGAACGGCCATACTCTCGTCATATCATCATGGGTACGTTGCCATTCTTGTCACCACCTTTCAACCTCTCCCCACCACAACCTCCACCTGGCTTATTCACTGCACAATCGACATTCGTCGCTATTGTTCCGAACAAATCTGTCTTCTTTGTCTCTCTCTCTTTCCCTCTTCCTCTCTTTCTTCCCCACCCTCTCAAGTACCTTTCTACTTCGAGGCTTTGCTAACCTATCTTGCTTCCATATAGCTGACGAAGTTGATACCTACCGCCCAGTAAGTTCAACGTTTAATCTATCTTCAACCCCGATATCAGGACAGACCTCGATGTCGCCACCGAGCTAAGTCATCAGCCCTACACCGGTGTCATCCATTGTCAAGCTTGACCGGGTTGCGACGGGCCTAAACCCCGCCAGCAATCCATACGTTTGTAATTCACGCAGCACAAGGCTCTGACACCACCCAACATCATCCTCAACTCACTTGCCTCTCAACTTCCTTCTCCAATACCACTTCTCAGTTCCCTTTCAAGCTTGATGGTCCAGCCAGATACTTACCGATCGCAGCGTGAGAGATCCCGTTCGCCTCGCCGTGGTCGATCCAGAAGCCCGGGTCGTTCAGTTCGCCGTCGCTCGTACTCTCCCCGCAGCCGGTCTAGAAGCCGCGACGACTACCGTAGGAACGATCGCAGATCTCGTACACCTATGAACGGAGGAGGCGTCGGCGCAGGTGGTGGCTCGGGAGCTGGCTCTGCCTACGGAGGAGCCCCACAGAGATCGTTCGAGGAACGCGCCGCTGCGAAAGAACAAATGCTGTCGACCGTTCGCGAATCGTCCCAGCAAGACCGACGTGTCTACGTCGGCAACCTAGCATACGATGTGAAGTGGCATCACCTTAAAGATTTTATGAGACAGGGTTAGTGAAAGGACGGCAATTGAAACGATGGATAGAGGGCTAATAGGGATTGGTTTGCAGCTGGAGAAGTTCTCTTTGCCGATGTCTTACTACTTCCAAATGGAATGTCGAAGGTGGGCGCCTACACGTAGCTGTGGCTGGTTTTCTGGTCTTTCTTTTGTCTTGGCTATTGAAGGAATGTTGGATTGACGGGTTGGACTTTTGTCCGTGGGTTATGTAGGGATGCGGGTAAGTTCCTCAGTCCTCGACCAACTCATCACGAAAGCGTGCTAACTCAATCTCAGAATTGTGGAATATGCTACAAGGGAGCAAGCTCAACAAGCTGTCAACACACTCAGCAACCAGAACCTCATGGGCAGACTCGTCTACGTTCGTGAAGTAAGATCAAAAACCTAGCCGTTGTGTGTTTGATGGAGACTGATATGGTGCCAGGATCGCGAGGCCGAACCTCGATTTACAGCCCCTCCAACGGGAGGTCGCGGCGGATTCGACGGCGGACCAAGGGGTGGATTCGGGGGTAACTTTGGACCACCACATATGGGTGGTGGTGGTGGCGGCGGTGGCGGTCGCCAGATCTATGTCAACAACGTTTGTCCCCTAACGATCCTTCTTCAGTTTTGTCAACTTGTGTTGGAAACCTTTATTAACTTGGCTGCGATAGCTCCCTTACACTGTAGGTTGGCAAGATCTGAAGGACCTGTTCCGTCAAGCGGGTATGTTCTCTTTCTTCTCCGTAGCTAGCAAATGGCCATGTTCTCGTCAACAAAACTAACAGTAGGAAAACAGCTCGTGAAGGTGCTGTCATTCGCGCCGATGTCCACATCGGTCCGGATGGCCGTCCAAAGGGCTCGGGTATCGTTGCCTTTGAGTCTCCAAATGATGCTCGCAACGCTATCCAGCAGTTCAATGGTTACGATTGGCAGGGCCGCCCACTGGAGGTCCGCGAGGATCGTTTCGCTGGCAACTTCCCTCCTCGTGGCGGCTTCGGCGGTGCTCGAGGAGGCTTCGGTGGTGGCTTTGGCGGTCGCGGTGGTGCTCCATTTGCTGGTCGTGGCGGCTTCGGCGGCGGCTTCCCAGGCCGTGGAGGCTTTGGCGGTAACTTTGGCGGCGCTCCAGGTGGTGGTGGTGGCTACGATGCTGGCCCTGCCTCGACTGCTCCTCCTAACCCATTCACCGATTTTGCCACGGCTGGAACTGACAGAAATGAGATCATTTATGTCCGCAACGTATGTAGCCATTCTATTCTCTCCTTTACTACACCACTAACGCCAATTCTAGTTGCCTTGGTCCACCAGCAATGAGGATCTCGTTGAGCTCTTCACTACAATCGGCAAGGTTGAGCAGGCCGAGATCCAATATGAGCCCAATGGACGTTCGCGCGGCACTGGTGTTGTTCGTTTCGACACTGTCGACAACGCCGACACCGCCATCTCCAAGTTCTCTGGATACCAATACGGTGGCCGCCCTCTTGGCCTGAGCTTCGTCAAGTACCAGACCCCCGGAAGCGCTGACGCCATGGCCATGGACACCGAAGCCACCGGCCTGACGCAAGACCAGATCATGTAAGGGGAGATACGGAAAATCTTCGCTATCATTCTTGCCTTTTCTGGCATATATACAAGGTTGAAGCGAGCACGTTTGGCCAACGCCAGACAGATTTTTCGCTATTTTGACATTTTTTGTCGTTCTTGTTCTTTCGATGGGGAATGCTGCTTTATTTAACAAATTGGGGGTGGGGAATTAAGGGAAGGACACTCTTGGGAGCTCAAGGCTTGGGAGGGGGGTGTGAGGTTGTAATCGCTGGATTTTTTTCGTTGTATTCAAACCAAAAAAAAAGTTTTGGTGTTCTTTAACTGGAAGTTTTGCAATCCGCACGGCCTGGCTCTTTTTAATTCTAGACTGCAAGGAATCAAATGAAAGTTGAATCCCAAAATGCGCGTATACCCTTCTTGTGTGGAGATGAAATGTTATCCCGGCGTAGTCAGTCTCCATGGTGCCGCTGCGTGCAGAGAATTACATAGCTGCCCAATGGTCGTCACTTTTGAAGCAAACAGTATCATGATTATAAGATATTATTCATATACGCATATTGCCCGTACCGGTGAATCACTATGACTATGTTTATAAAATGCCCAGCAACCCCGCAGCCCTTCGTTTCTTACACTCTCCATCATCATCATCATCCATATCGCCAACGAGCCAACGCCGAGAATATGATACACACTCCCAACTTCCCATATAGACACGGGAACGAATCTCTACCAGATCACAACATATTTCCGAACAGCATACCTACCCCCAATACCCCCTCGCCACAGCATCATGTGCGAAATAAAACGCTACCGCTTCCCGGACTGCTGCAACCGCGAGAAGTGGATCATCACCAAGAACGCGGCGTTCTGTGAGGACATGGATCCGAGGGCGAGGTGTAGGCTGAGTTGTTGTCTTTTTATTGGGGGGGTTGTTGAGGTGGAGGGGGTTTGTGGGGAGTGTGAGGCAGAGTTTAGAGGGGAAGCTGGAGAGGGGGAGGGGGGTGGAAGAAGAAGAGAGGTTGGTGGGGAGATTGAGGGCGAGGACGGGAGCGTGGAGAGGAGAAGGCGTGGGTAATTTGCTGGAGGCAAGTAGAGAAGGGCGAAGAGAAGGGGGACATGGAGCTGCCAAATAAAGGTGACGTCTGGTTTTATATTCGTGGCATGCTAACAGTGGTTTCTCTGGATATTAGAAACACGATCCAACGCTGAAAGCTAATAATAATGGAGGATATGAATTTCGATATTTTGTCCAGAATTGTAGAGCTAATCCGAGAGCAGCAGTAAGTTCTGCTTCTGCTGGAAAAGGGGCCTAAGAGGAAGACGGGCGCAGCATTATCACTGACGTTGTATCGATATTAGCAGTGGAGCTTGCTTTCATAGAACGGTATACACGCATAGGAGAATAATTCACGTCCATTGGATTCATAAACCTCGTCTCCAGTGATGCATCTTAAAAACAATGACCCAAACGTACGTCCGGCCATCTATTCCATATATTCATATACCTCCAACGCCAACCCTCTATGCTCTAGCTTCACTTCTTCTCCTCGCCCGCCGGGACAACCACCTTCTTCTTCGCCTTTTGCCTCGCCTTCGCCTTACTCCTATCGCGCTTCTTCAATCCCGACATGCCGGCCTTGCACACCTCGGCGTATCTGCTGAAAAAGCCCTCCAGGGCATCTGCGGTGACAATGGTCGAGAGGCGCACTTTGGACTTGTGCTTGCCATCTGTGGCCCGTATGAGGAGGGTAAGGGGTTGTGTGGGCGCAAGGTCGGGGAAGGATGCCGCGTCGGCTTGCGCGGGGAAGGTGTCGGAGGGAGCTGAGTATGTCACTTTGGGATATTAGCTATTTGAGATCTTGAGGTGTATGTGGCTGCGCAGCAGTAAGGTGGGAAACTCACAGCGCTTCTGGGTTAAGAAGACAGATCCTTGGGTTTCGGACCTGTTCTTGTCGAAGAGCTCCGAGAGCTTGGTAAAAAACTAACGTTGTAAGTTAGACAGGGTGCTATACAGATATTTATTTTCTCAACTTACCTCATCGTTGGTGAGAGGCGCGGCCATGGTGACTTAACATGCGACCATCATGGCTCTCAACGGTGGGGTTAAAATCATATGGCTGTCGTCGTCGTGGTTGTGGGGCACGGACGGCGGACGGATCTTATCTGCCAGAATTTCCCCACCCTTCGATACCGCCCATGTCTAGCCTTGTCAATTTTGTCCGCCTCGTCAAAAAATAATTCCTCCAGAGCAATCACCACGGATTAAAGATGCCACCAAGAGACCAATTAAAGCTGCCGGCGAAGATTATTGAGGAGTTGGGTGGGAAAGGTATGTAGATTTTAATGCCTACCAAAAAAATTAAGGAGTGGCGCTCATGGCGATCTAGATGTTCTTGGATACCGGAAACAGCAACGGCCTCTTGACCGCAAGGACAGGCGGAAGGCAGAGAGAGTCCAGAAGAAGGTGTCAAGATCCGGGCAACCGCCTTTCAAGAAGCCAAAGGTGAACGACCCTCGAGGCCGCGAGCCAGTTCGTTCGTCTACGAGCACCGAGGCATCGAACTCAACCAAAGAAAGCCGCGACACGAAAGAGCCCCAAGCTGCGCCGGAACCAAAGCTTAAATCTATATTGAAGACTGCTTCGCAAGCAAGTAATAAACCGAGTAAACGAATACCGGCGGCAGAACGTCTTAGATCCCCGACCCCGCCACCGAAGAGGCCCTCTCGCGCCGTGCTGGATAAACTTGCAGAAGACGACGAGGAGATCGCGCTGTTGGAGAAAAAGCTCGGCATTAAAGGCAAAAAGGCTCTACCGCAAGCATTTCGAGACGATGGACTTGATGAACTGCTGGGTGGGATAGATGAGCTGGTTGGCGGTGAGGACGAGGAGTTGGTGGAGAAGAGAAAGAGGAAGTCGGAGGGAGATGAGTGGCTGGATATGAAGAGGAAGAAGGCACGGAAGATGAAAGCGCAGGATGTCCCCGAGGTTTCGGACGAGGACATGGGTGACAGCGATGCTGAGAGTGTGGACTCGGACCAGTCTGACGAATTCGGATTGCAGAGCGATGAAGGGAGCGACCTTGGCATGGATGACGACGATATGGACAGCGATATTGGCGGAAATAACGACGAGGATTCAGAGTTTTCCGAATTCGATGAACCGGAAGAGCCCAAGAGGGTGCGTGAGAATCCATATCTCCCTCCCACTGCGCCAGGGGCAGTTGCATCGGCCAAATATATGCCCCCTTCGTTACGGAAACAATCCGCATCAGAGTCTGAAGATCTTGCGCGACTACGAAGGCAAATACAAGGTCTAGTCAATAAATTGACTGAAGCAAACCTCATATCGATACTAGGGGAGGTAGAGACTATATACCGCAATAATGCACGTCAGCACGTCAGCTCAACACTCGTCGATATACTGTTGGTATCAGTTTGCGAACCAGCGGCGTTGTCGAACACTCATATTATCCTGCTTGCTGGGTTCATATCGGCGGTGTACAAGGTCATTGGAGCTGATTTCGGAACACAAGTCATACAACAAATCGTGGAGCGCTTTGACAAGTTCTATTCGAATATCGCGGGAGTTGGGGACACCAAGGAGACTTCAAACTTAATAACCCTTGTTTCGGAACTCTATAATTTCCAGGTCATTGGAAGCACCCTCGTGTTTGATTACATTCGCATGTTTCTTGGTACTTTTTCAGAGCTGAATACGGAGCTACTCCTCAAGATGATCCGAACTTCTGGACCGCAGTTACGCCAGAACGACCCATCATCGCTCAAGGATATTGTCATCATGCTCCGGCCTGCCGTTGAGAAGGCTGGTGGCGAAGAGAACATGTCCGTGAGGACAAAGTTCATGATCGAAACCATCAACGACCTGAAGAATAATAAGATGAAGACGGGTGCAGCAGCCTCAGCGGTCATTTCCGAGCACACCATCAGGATGAAGAAGACCTTGGGCACACTGAATTCCAGAAGTTTGAAGAGCAGCGAGCCTTTACGTATTGGCTTGGACGATATCCGACAGTCGGACAGTAAAGGCAAATGGTGGCTGGTCGGTGCTAGCTGGACTGGAAATGAGGCTGCGAACCGTGATGGAGTGCCATCTCAGCCAACTAGCCAAGCAAGAGAAGTCGATGTTGCAGATGATATCGCAATGGACACCCGAACAACCGACCTTGGTCAGCTTGCAAGGGAGCAGCGGATGAACACAGACGTCCGGAGGGCCATCTTCATTGCCATCATGTCTGCGTCCGACTTTCAAGATGCATATATGAGGCTGAATAAGCTGAAGCTTAAGAAATCACAAGAACTTGAGATTCCAAAGGTTCTTATTCACTGTTCCGGTGCAGAAGCAAGTTACAATCCATTTTACACTCTCATCGCCAAGAAGCTCTGTGGCGACCGAAAACTCAAGATGGCTTTCCAGTTCAGTCTGTGGGACTTGTTTAAGAAGATGGGAGAAGGAGACAATGAAGACGATGTGCCCGATGAGGATGATGAGGACGCTTTGTCAACTCGGCAAATTGTCAACCTGGCAAAAATGTTTGGCGCTTTAATTGTTGACGGCGGGCTCACCATCTCGATCTTAAAGAACTTGAACTTGACCTACCTACAACCTAAGACACAGACATTCGTGGAGGTTCTATTCATCTCAATGTTTTTGCACCCGCAAAAGCAGCCAGCCAAGGTGGGCGACAAGACCGCCATTGCAACCCTCATTGGACGAGTACAGGATACCCCCTCGATGATGACTGGCTTACAGTACTTCATCCAGAAAGTGGTCAAGAAGACCGATATCGCTGGGGGGAAGGATGAGAAGCTACGGGTAAAACAGGCCTGCAAGGTTGCAATAGACACTCTTCGGGCTCTGGCAGCAAGAGATGCGGTCTGAGATTGTGGCGGCGCCAAGTTCTGGCGGTGTTCCAGGCGCGCCTATAAACCATGCGCAGTATGAGTGCATATTGTAGGGCGTGTGAGGCGAGAAATGTATGTAAACGCGAGTCCGTCTCCGTTGCTCACGAGTCAATATATCAAATATCAAAAATAGTAACACGACTTCTAAAAGCGACCGCCATATAACGGGCGTAGGCCCATCGACGGTGAGGTGATCACTAATTTAGGTGGACCACCCGCGCATTGAAGTCCGTCGGGTAACGTCGGCCAGGATGACTACAAAAACTCAACAGAAAAACAAAACCTGTTTGAGACTCTATAGGCATATAGAAATCATCAAGATTATTTCTCCATATTCACATAGCGATATTGGGCTTCTGCTGCTTTAGTTGACCGAGTCCGTTAAAACCGTCTTATATAAATCTCCAATAAATGATAAAAGTTGGAGAAACAGCAGCGATAGCATTAGTTCCCCAAGATCGGGCCCAAGTCTCCGTCAGATATCGCCCGGCTCCTTTTGTTCCGGCTTCCGGTCTGGTGCTTTCCATGATTACCGACCCCAAAACAAAATTGACGAAACGAGTAGAGCATTCAAATTCCCCAACATACCAGTGATTGAATCCGTTGATCACGATTTCATATTTACACGATGTTTCGCAGTATCCTCGCCCCGAAGGCGACCATGAGGTCTGCTTTCCAGCAATCATCGTGCGTTTCCCATTACCCCAGACAAATTGGAGACACGAACTGACAGCTCCTTTAGCCTCCCAACAGTTATTCGCCCATCGTCCATTGCGGGATTATCAAGGAGGACGTACGCGACACAAAATGGTTAGTAGCCATACATGACATACTGTTGGGAATACCCTCACTAACACAATGCAGAGGAGCAGGATGTGGTCATTATCGGTGGCGGAGTCGCCGGGTACGTCGCGGCCATCAAGGCAGGCCAAGAGGGCCTGAAGGTATGCAATCTGCCGCCCAGTTCGAATGACAAAAGCATGTCTAATTAACAATTAGGTGACATGTATCGAGAAGCGTGGCGTACTGGGCGGAACCTGCCTCAACGTCGGCTGTATCCCTTCGAAAGCTCTCCTCAACAACTCGCATTTATACCACCAGATCCTTCACGACTCGAAACACAGAGGCATTGAGGTCGGCGATGTCAAACTCAACCTTGGCCAGCTGATGAAGTCAAAAGAGACCGCTGTCTCTGGCCTCACCAAGGGTGTTGAGTTCCTTTTCAAGAAGAACGGCGTCAACTACGTCAAAGGCACCGCGACGCTCACTGGCGAGCATGAGGTCAAGGTCAACCTCAACGAGGGCGGAGAGGTAACCTACACCGGAAAGAACATCCTCCTCGCTACCGGAAGTGAGGCGACTCCTTTCCCAGGGCTCGAGGTCGACGAGAAGAGAATCATCACCAGCACTGGCGCCATTGCGCTTGAGAAGGTCCCAGAGAGCATGATTGTTATTGGTGGTGGTATTATTGGCTTGGAGATGGGATCAGTGTGGTCGAGACTGGGCGCAAAGGTTACAGTGGTGGAATTCCTTGGACAGATCGGTGGACCAGGAATGGACGCTGAGATCGCCAAGCAAGCGCAGAAGGTGCTGAAGAAGCAGGGTATTGACTTCAAGCTCAACACCAAGGTCACTGGTGGTGACCCCTCTGGTGAGAACATCAAGATCAACGTTGAGGCTGCTAAAGGAGGAAAGGCAGAGGAGGTCTGTCCCCCATTTCTTGAGATACCTTGAATGTATGCTGACTGAGAACATAGCTTTCTGCCGAAGTCGTCCTCGTTGCCATCGGCCGCAGGCCGTACACCGAGGGTCTTGGCCTCGAGAACATCGGTGTCGAGGTTGATGACAAGGGACGCATTGTCATCGATTCTGAGTTCCGCACGAAATTCCCGCATATTCGCGCGATCGGTGATGCCACATTCGGCCCCATGCTTGCCCACAAGGCCGAGGAGGAGGCTGTGGCAGCCGTCGAGTGGATCAAGAAGGGTTACGGACACGTGAACTACGGCGCCATCCCGTCCGTCATGTACACGCACCCCGAGGTTGCGTGGGTTGGCCAGAACGAGCAGGAGCTCAAGGCTGCCGGCATCAACTACAAGATCGGCACGTTCCCGTTCTCCGCCAACTCGAGAGCGAAGACCAATATGGACACCGAGGGCATGGTTAAGATGCTCGCTGATGCAGAGACCGATCGCATCCTTGGCATTCACATCATCGGTGCCAATGCAGGTGAGATGATTGCTGAGGGCACATTGGCGCTCGAGTACGGTGCGTCGAGTGAGGATATCTCCCGCACATGTCACGCGCATCCCACGCTCGCTGAGGCGTTCAAGGAGGCGGCCATGGCAACTCATGGCAAGGCTATCCACTTCTAAGAAGCCGGATCCATGAGTGCCGTGTTGCATATTCGAGGTGGGCTGGGCAAGAGGAATGATTGGTAGAGAGTAGATGCACGGGGGGTGCACCAGTGATCACTGTGTAATATAGTCCGGACTTTGGGTAGGGGTTGCATGTTATGGTGGCCCACGAGAACAAAAACCCAAATACCTAGATAATTAAATTCGATTTGGTTCTAGTTCGATGGTATTGCGCACTTGATGATATTATCCCTACATCCAACTCAATACCACTCCAGTAGGAAATATTAACCCCCACACCAATGTGAAAACCTGGGCGTCTCAGCCCGCTGCTTCTGGATCAAAGGAGCCTGTCTCTATTCCTAGCGTATATGTATACCAGCGTATTATAGGAGACATAAAAACGCCCATAGATAGAATGCGTGTAGATGGTAAACTAGAAAGCACCGCAACCATCCACTAAAACTCAGCGCCACCGATACGGTGGTGGAGAACCCAACGGCCGCCCATCCCGTCGTATATAAGTATATTGTTCAGGGTAAGATCGTGCTGCTAGTGATACTCGATTACGACAATCCAGGGGACAGTTTCTTCTTCCGCACGACCGGCAGATATCGCTTCTATATTTCAAATCAGTTTCGAGGCTAGATCATCATTAAAAAAGGAGCTGCCTACCCCCGGCTATAGTAGTCCCGGCCACCCATAACATCCCGGATTTCCCGGTCGTCGTCGAGGCCTGCGAGATCGCACGCCGGGCAATCACAGTGGTCACCACCGCGAATATTGAGAACTTGGTTTGCTGCATGCGTTGTGAGTACGCATGTCCGGCACAGATGGTTGCCTAGAGGTGAGATGGCAGAGCCGCAGGCACAGTTGACGTAGGCACGGCTTCTGGGACGAACTGGCTCTAGGCCATAACGACTGCCCATGTAGGGTTCGAGTGAGCGGGATGTAGGGTAGCGAGGCTCGAGAAGCGGCCGGGAGAGTGGGTAGGGATAACGAGAGTTGATTACGTTCATTGTGTTGTTTTGGATGATCTTGTCGCGACGGAGAAGACAGCACATGAGATCGAATTACGGACAGTGAAAGAGGACGGAGGGTTGGGATGGGCTATGACTGAAGCGGCGACTGACTAAAGGGCTTTATATACATATACATAGCCCCCAAGGCCCATTTGGGAGGGCTTATCGTCGTAATGCTTGCTGACTTGTCTAAAATAGGCGGAAGGGTTGCACCGTGTGGCACTGCTGGACTTAGGCGTAAAGAAATATAAGGTCGCCCGCAGGAATCGCCGTGAACATGTTCCTTGCAAATTTTGATAGGACCGCTTGGCCATGGTTGCAAATAGCCTTCCTTCACGGAAGGTTGCAGAATCTCGGCCGAGAAAAGATTCTAGGTGGGCGTAAGCGGCACAGGGGGACTGTTTCCTGTGTATCAAAGGCAGATGAGGGCGTGTTTGATTGCCTGAACGGAGAAAGCCCACCCACTGAGGCAGACAGACGGCTCAGAAGGCTCAGACGGCCCAGCGAGTAATTCCACTTGTATGGCTGCTCAGACGAAGAACAGCCGAAAAGGTTGCAGCATCTGGGAAGCAAACTTTGGAGTTGGAGCTACACAACACCATGCGAGCCATGCAGTCACGCCCCACGACGGTGGAGGAGTGCATGAGACAAAATAAAGCAGGGCGAACAGCACTGAGTATACGAAATGAAAGAGGTCCATAGGCTTGGGAGCCTGTGAATTGGTATTTGAAAGAGGACAGAAACGCTCACCGAGAACCTCGTCTGGACCAGTTTCACAGCCATGCCAGCGTCTGGAAGGGCACTGGATCGGAGATACCGTGGGATAGAGCTCTGATACCCAAATATCCGAGGTAGGGCGCACACTGCACACCGCACACCATCTGAGCCAAGTAAGTCAAGGCGTCAGCGTTGATTGTCGGCGGGTTGTTGTCGTCGGTGAGGGCGACTTTGGTGTATCATCGTATAGCACGAAAGAACACTGGACTGCTTGCCTTTCTGGATACTGGCGAGGGAGCTAAAAACAGCGAGAGCCTACATGGATTGTGCCACCGCTACTATAGCACTGCAGTATGGAGTGGTTTCTCTGAATAGTCGCATTTTGTCTATTGCCGTCGATATTCTGTAGGTTGTTAGAGGGTGTTAGACGGTGTAATGGAGCATATATAAGCCTGATAGTCTTACTATATCATATACAATATAGTATCGTGCTGTATTGTACGGTATCGTACTGTATCGTACTGTATTCTACTGTATCATACTCTAAGCTGACGGTGGTGGCTGAATCTCACACACAAATCGTACTGTAGCACGTGAATCTTGGCGTCTGTAACGTCCCTCTCCGCCTGGTGGCCTGCCTGGTGGCCTGCCTGATAGCCTGATAGCCTGTTACCTGTGCCCCTGTAAAATAGCTCCAGCTAGCTGTTACGCGTTACCCGTTACCCGCATACCAATACCCCAATCCCACTCTTCCCACTTCAACAAACACTCTGGCGGAGATCCGCGACCCGCGACGACAACCCCCCCCGACCAACCCGCCGACAACCCCTCCTCTACCTATCAGCATCCTCAGAGTGGGAATGTGTACCCTGTATGCATTCGTATGTCGGCTCAGCCACCATTTTTCTCATCTGCTAATCCATTGTTTCACCGACAATTCAACATTCAATTCAACATATTTAGTCTGTACTGACTGTATTGACTGTACTGACTGTACTCACTACACTGCCCCGTGCTTCCTGTCCTGTACATCCTCGATTTTGGCTTTCCTCCAACCCCCCCCCCCCCCCCCCCCACCACCCAAGACAGAACGCGCTTTGGGGGCTTCCGAGGCGTCTTTCCTTCTCAATTCCTGTGCAACTGGCACAATGCCCGCCAATGGGACAATGTCCGCCAATGGGAATCCCAATCCCAAATCCAATGCCCGGAAGGAGACGCTATACTCAAGAAGACAAATCGAGGGATTGATTGCAGACGGCAGAAAGATCATTATACTCGACCAAAAGGTTATCAAGGTCGATGCATGGATAGACTATCACCCAGGCGGCCATCTGGCCATCCTCCATATGGTTGGACGAGATGCCACGGACGAGGTTAACTCGTAAGCCTCGACCTCCCATTGCAGCCGGAGAATTATTGATTGCCTATGCTAATGTACTCGTTCTACAGCGTCCACTCAGCGGAAACCCGGGCATCGATGTCCCGGTACCAGATTGGAAGAATTGAAGGCCGATGGGAGAACTTCCTACCCCCATACCAAGGAGGGAAATTTCGACCTTACATCGAATCCGCAAGTGATGGCCCAGATACCGATGACCAGCTTGAATCGAGCGATATCTCGCGGGCGCCCTCGCCACTATTCGATACCGAGAAGACGGCAACGCTTCGCCGAAGGAATGCAGATATGCAGCGGTCCCTCTCGGTCTCTTCGGTATCATCGGTTGAAGAGAGCGAGAGCAACAGTGGCATGGCGTACCTGGATGATATAACAAAGAAGCTTTTGGATATTGACAATGCGAGCTATCCATCGTTGGATGGTGCCACACAGGACGAGATTGTTCGCAAGTACCGGATTCTGGGACAGCGCATTCACGATGAGGGCCTGTTCAACTGCAACTATGCGATGTACCTCCTCGAAGCCCTACGATGGACATTTTTGTTCAGTATGATGCTTGTGTGCCTAAAGTATGGCTGGTACGTTTCTAGTGCAGTATTTCTGGGGATGTTTTGGCACCAGCTGCTCTTCGCCGCGCACGACTCCGGCCACATGGCTGTGACACACAACTTCAAGTTCGATACCACTATGGGCATCATCATAGTTGATTTCCTCGGCGGTCTCTCGCTCGGTTGGTGGAAACGGACACACAATGTTCACCATATTGTCACGAACCACCCAGAACACGACCCAGACAATCAGCACATGCCGATATTCGCGATTTCACACAGATTTCTGGAGTCCTTGTGGTCCACCTATCATCAAACTACCATGGCTTTTGATGCTTTCGCGAAGTTTATGGTGCCATACCAAGCATACCTATACTATCCGATCCTCTGCCTGGGCCGCTTCAACCTTTATGTTCAGTCGTGGAAGTTCCTTATACTAGGGCAAGGCCCGGTGAAGGGGCCTGCATGGTGGACAAGATGGCTGGAGTGCGTCGGCCAGGTATTCTTCTGGTATTGGTTTGGCTATCTCATCCTATACAAGTCGATCCCCACTGGTTGGGATCGCTTCGTGTTCCTGATGGTCAGCCACATTATAACGATGCCGCTTCATGTCCAAATTACCCTTTCACACTTTGCCATGAGCACCATGGACCACGGACCACGGGAATCATTCCCCCAGAAGATGCTGCGCACGACGATGGATGTTGACTGCCCGCAATGGCTCGATTTCTTCCATGGAGGGCTGCAATTTCAGGCAATCCATCATCTCTATCCACGCATACCTCGACACAACCTTCGGGCAACTCAAAAGCTAGTCCAGGAATTTTGCAACGATGCTGGGATTCCGTATGCACTGCTGGGCTTTGTGGACGGGAATAAAACTGTCATCAGCAAACTGGATGAAGTCGGCAGGCAAGCCGCCATTCTCACAAAATGCCAGAGGACGATTGCTGAGAGGGGCGACGTCCTTCACTCTCATTAGGGCCGCCACGGATGGGCTTTCCTTGGCCGGTAGCCATTAGATTTTGAGCTGTTAATTTAGATACGAAAAGCATATGCATATTTGATGTGGATAGCACTCCATGTAGCTAGCCATAGACGTCCATAAGGCTAGGTTTTCTAGAGGAATGGAGACGGACAGTGGAGGCGACGGCTTCTTTTGCCGTGTGGGCTGGTGCGTGCACCTTGGTGGGTTTCTTGGAACTTTGCTATGTAGAACATGAATTGACGATGATTTCTATGATTCTCCAGGGTTCGCCTATAAGTGCACAATAAGTATAATATTGCCTATGCGTAATTTTTGCATTTATATTCATTTCGTGACCGTGGACTATGGGCAGTAGACGATCTTGGGAAGTAGTAGAGTACGGGAACCTGGTTGACCGCTATCATTGGCTCCTGGGTGAAGCGAAGCCATCCAACCACGCTGAAGTTGGCAGAGGTCCAGTACCGTGACATAAGACTCCAATAGTAGTAACTCATATCACGAGGTGTGTTCGCCGCAAAAGAGTATCAACAACCTAGGAAACAAGCGCCTTCCAGTCTCTACTCTAACGTGCGGCTCTTTACGAGACTACATGAGGCCGTAAGTTTGCCACTCTGCGACGCCATATTCGTGGCCTATTCAAAGATACCGCCAACCACACGGAGCATCGATCGGTCTTGACGGCAATAGGCACGCCCAACTCAGGCCTTTGATATACCTTGGCACTGTATATCCACAGCAGCCCTTCCACTATGTGCTTGCTGTAACATCTTATTTTCGTCACTATGGATATCAGTATCCAAAGAGCGCTAAATGACAAGCTCTATGACAAGAGAAAGGTCGGCGCTCTTGAGTAAGTAATTACCCCCCCGGTGCCTGATACTGGTGCTAACCCCTCAAAACAGACTCGAGCGGGTGATCAGGGAACTTGCCGCTGGCAAGGAGTACGATAAGATTAAGAAGATCATTCAGCAACTCTGCAATGACTTTGCATATGCCGTTCATCAGCCGCATGCCAGGAACGGTGGCCTGATTGGCCTCGCCGCTGCAGCTATTGCTTTGGGACCCGTAAGCCGATGAAATGCTTGAAGAGCTCTGTAACTGACGATGTGGCACAGGATCTAGCGAGGTATCTTGATGAGATTGTGCCGCCTGTGCTGGCGTGCTTCACTGACCAGGATGCTCGGGTTCGGTATTATGCGTGTGAAAGCATGTATAATATTGCAAAGGTTGCCAAGGGCGAGGTGTTGCCTTACTTCAACGACATCTTCGATGCCCTCTGCAAGGTAAAATTTTCCTTCTATCCATATTTAGTACATAATTAATACGTGACAACAGTTGGGTGCGGACTCAGAGTTATCCGTCAAGAACGGAGCAGAACTATTGGATCGACTGATTAAAGACATCGTCTCTGAATCAGCTGCTACGTATGTGTCAATCCTGCACACCACGGAAGAAGATGGAGAGTATTCAGACCAGGATGCCACAGAACCGTCTATTCAGGTTCCGATGGCTTTCTCTCTGGCCCGCTTTATCCCGCTCCTGAAGGAGAGGATCTTTGTGCTGAACCCGTTCACCCGCACATTCTTGGTGGGATGGATCACTCTGCTGGATTCGATTCCTGATTTAGAGCTGGTCACCTATTTACCTGAATTCCTCGGTGGATTGTTCCGGTTTCTAAGTGACCCTAACCGAGACGTCCATGTTGCAACTTCTGGAGCCCTGGAAAGATTTTTGTCCGAAATAAAGCGGATATCACGTATTAAGAAGGGCATCCAAGACAGCAGAAAATCAAAGAGCCGTAGCGACGGCGGGAAAAGGAAGCGCTCGGACTCCACAGACAGTGAAAGTGGTTTAGATGAGTTTGAAAACGATGAGGAAGAAGGATCTCTCGAAGCCAACGAAGAGAAGGCTGCCAGCAGTGATGATGACTGGATACCCGGTCAGGAGGTGCCGATTAATTTTAATGAAATCTTGGAGATTTTAACCCAGAATCTCGACTCCCAGTTCGGTAAGCTAAGTCTAATATATATGCTGGCCGTTATACTAACATCGGGATAGAAGAGGATAGTCTGCTTGAAACACTTCGGTGGATCGTTGAATTTCTTGACATTTGTCCGGAAGAGGTGTTACCTTTTGCACCGAAGATCCTGGCCCATTTGCTACCCGCAATGGCAAGCAGCGTTGAGAGTATTAGACAAGCAGCTGCAAGGGTTAATACGTCCCTCATGGAGTACGTAGTATCACTATCAGAAGAGGTTCCCCCTGAGAACGTATCTACCGCCCCATCGACCTCGAGAAACTCGACGTCTACAGCAAGAGAGACTACGGACAACGATAGGAGTCAGTCCAATTCCACACATAGGGGGTCGTTGACAGGGTCTAAGGAACTCGAAGCCAAGAGGTTCCCGGATGCTACCGCGCAGCCCCCCACAGGAAGGTCTACAATGTCACCAACCCCTAACAAGCAAACCACCGTTGATCTCGATTATGCTGCGGCGGTAAACTCACTCACATTACTGTTTTTGAACGACCACGAAGCTACGAGAGTAGCGGCTCTCACTTGGCTACTTATGCTCCACAGGAAGGCACCTCGCAAGGTTCTCGCTTTCAACGACGGAACGTTTCCAGCCTTGCTCAAAACACTTTCAGATCCTGCCGAGGCCGTAGTTACAAGAGACCTTCAGTTATTGTCACAAATCTCGAGAAACAGCGAGGATGATTATTTTACATCATTTATGGTGAATTTACTTCAGCTCTTTTCGACTGACAGGAAGCTGCTTGAGACTCGAGGCAATCTTATCATCAGGCAGCTGTGCAAAAATCTTAGCGCCGAACGGATATATCGCACTTTGGCCGATTGTATAGAGAAAGAAGAGGATATCGAGTTCGCAAGCATCATGGTCCAGAACCTAAACAACAATCTCATCACTGCCCCTGAATTGGCGGACTTGCGGAAGCGCCTTCGAAACTTGGAAACAAGGGTAATTATCCCTATCGTCGGTACCTTCAAGCACATGATAACTAACACTGCAGTAGGATGGTCAGACATTCTTCGTAGCAATTTTTAGATCCTGGTGTTACAATGCTGTTGCTACATTTTCCCTATGCCTCTTAGCGCAAGCATACGAGCAGGCCTACAACCTTCTTCAGATATTGTATGTGGTTTTTCAATGGGCCGTTCCTTACACCATGCTAACACATTCAGTGCCGAGTTAGAGATGACCGTTAATATGCTTATTCAGATCGACAAGCTTGTACAGTTGCTGGAGTCGCCAGTATTCACTTGTAAGTATCTCCGAGGTATCAAAAGATATTCGCTAATCCTTACAGACCTTCGCCTTCAACTATTGGAGCCGGAAAAGTATCCGCATCTGTACAAATGTTTGTATGGACTTCTGATGCTCCTCCCGCAATCAGCCGCATTTGCGGCATTGAAAAACAGACTGAATAGCGTCAGTGCTATTGGGTACTTGCATATTGCACCCCGAGCGTAAGTGACATTTTCCATACTTCCACCTCCAAACTAAGAGCTGCTGCGCTCACCGTTTTGTCTCCCCCCTCCCTTCAAACCCGTATAAGATTCTCATGCCACCAGGAATAGTACACCGACCACGACGGCCCAGTCAACATATGATAGACCTAATCGCCTAAAAGGACGTGACGAGGGGATCAGGTGGGGAGAATTGCTAGACAAGTTCCGAAGCGTACAAGAGAAGTCACGGAGAGCACAGAGGAGTGGCAACGAATTCGATGATGGGTTCATGTTTACAGAAAGCAGCCAGGACCCAGGATTGGACTCCAAGGCCTTCAAAGACCTAATTCGCCTGCCAGGGCCACCGACGGCGACGAAGGAAGCTGTGGTGCCTCCACCACCGGTCCCATCAAAGGCAAAAACAGGGCTCGGGAAGTTTGGTCGCCTAGGGGGAGGTAAAGCAAGGAAATGAACCTACGGGTTAGGTTTCGATGTCAAGATATTATATATATCCGTTTAGGTTTCAAATAATCATAAATATCTGTGGTGTCATCTCCTAGCTATCCTTTGCTTCTTGGGGCTTTCCCTCTCCACTAGGCCCTCGAACATGCCATCTCGTTCCTTCTTCAACACCGTCAGCTCTGCCCTTAACGTTTCCAATTCCAACCTTGCCAGGTCTGTATCATGCGGCAAACCATGGTAACTCTTAAGTTGTCCTTCCAGGTCCTTCACCAATGCCTCAATGGATCTAAAGTCTTTCTCCTCAATCACGACGTCTTGGACGGTCGGTTTAATTGTACCAGAAGCCGCAAGTGCATAAATCCGCTCGCGCAATTCAGGGAGCTTGGCAGCAAGCAGCTTTGTTTTCCGCTGATACTCCATTGTCTGTTTCCCCATATTTGGCGGCGACTGATATTTGTCACTGTCGAGCTCCTTTAAGAACGATGTCCCAAGTTCCAGTTCCCTCTGCATGTGGTTGATGAGAACGTCAATCCGGGCACCAATCTGCTCGAGACTGAATGCAGTGCTATGCAAATTTATGATGCGCGTTGCCATTTGCTCTGTGTCTCCAAACGGTAGGTTGAGGGCGTCCGCAGTCTCAGAGAGGGCGTCCAAACCCTTTTTACCGTCCGTAGTAAGTTTACTTTCCAAGCTCTCTAGCAGATCTCTTCGAGCATCAGGTTCCGCATTCTGGCGCAATTCTGACAAGCACCGTGCATCGGCTTTGGAGAGTAAGTCATTCTCCTCATCTACAGACTCGTTGACGGCAGCAAGGGCTAGTAACGCTCGAAGAGTATCGGCGTTACGCTCAAAAGCCGGAGGTGATCCTGGGGCAAAATGGCGAGACAGCCATGCATCGACGTAATTCCAGTCTTTTGTAGTAGCTAGAGCCTGGCGAGCAAGTGTTGGGGAGAAAATTGTGGAAGTTGAGGGTATAGACATGGTGAAATAATCCGCAGGGCAGGACCGAGGTATTGACGGACCAGGAGAGGTGGTGGGGAGACAACCAAGCCAAGCACACGGATTGCCTTGATTCTTTATGAGCTCTTCTCAAAAATTTATAGCATCGCAATGTTGCATTCCCTTGAATATGTCTGCTTGATTCACCGTTTGAGAACAATTCATGTGACCAAATGTTTTGATTATCGAGCTATATCTCAGCCTTGCCTGGTGCTATTTCGGGCGCTAAGTTTGATTGGTGCTTGACAAGGGCCAGTCCACAAGGTTGCGAAATGAAAGGTGGCCTCGTCTTGAACTTTAAAGTCCACCAGATCCTCAGATCCTTTGAGAGCCGATTGTATATATTTTAGTATCACACATTATCGATCTTGGATCTTGGATCGCGGCTCTTGAAAACGGGACAAGATGATGGTCCAGATTTCTGTGCTGGCAGTCGCTGCCGGCCTCTTATCATCACAGTCGCTCGTGGCGGCGATCACTCCATCTGAGATTCCCGATGATGTTCCAGTTTCTTCGCTGCTCAATTCCGCCAATACCCACTTGGCGATGGGCCAGACAAGCGATGCTTTGACATACTACGACGTTGCTATTTCGCGCGACCCAAGCAATTACCTTACCTTCTTCAAGCGTGGCGCAACTTATCTCTCGCTGGGGCGAACAACTCAGGCGCAATCCGACTTCGATAAAGTCCTGACTATCAAACCTGGGTTTGAAGGGGCTCTTATACAACGTGCCAAGATAAAGAGCAAAAGCGGCAACTGGGATGCTGCGAAGGAAGACTATTTGGCTGCGGGGCACACTGGTGCTGAGGTCACAGAACTGGAAGAGGCAGAAGGAGCATCGAAGTTGGCTGTGGATGCTGAGAAACGGGCAGACTACGATGAGTGCATTACACAGGCTGGAGTGGCCATCATGATCGCCAATAAAAACCTCGCATTACGAAAACTTCGAGTTCGATGCCGCTTCGAGCGGGGTGAGGTGCAGGAGGGAATAAGTGATCTTGCTCATGTGTTGCAGATGCAACCAGGGGATACCGATCCGCATCTCCAAATATCCTCAGTACTGTTTTTCTCACTTGGCGACACCGAGAGGGGAATGACCCAAATACGGAAATGCCTGCATTCAGATCCAGACTCGAAGACTTGCACAAAACTTTACCGACGACAGAAACAAATCAACAAGCAGCTTTTAAAGATTAGAAAGTTATTCGAAAAGAAGTCTTTTAGCACCGCAGCAAAGTATCTTGCCGGCAGTGCAGAGGATGTAGGCCTTATCCAAGAGATAAAGGAAGAGATCGCAGAATTGAGGGATGCAAACACGATCCCCGCGAAGGCCCCAAGTAATCTTTACACCGAGATGGTTGAGATGGCGTGCGAGGCTTATTCAGAGGTTAGTTTCCGACCCATCTTCGCTGTATTCTTCCGCTAATAACCTATATAGGTGAAAAGTAAGAAGGCGTCTATTTATTGCACAGAGGCGCTAGAGCTGAACGAGCATTCACTCCACGGGCTTCTTGCAAAGGCTCAGCAGTCTTGCGACGAAGAAAATTATGAGGCATGCATCAATACTCTCAACCTTGCAAATGAGCATCACCCTGGTAATCAGAACATCCAGTCCAAGCTCCAGGCTGCTCAGATAGCATTGAAGCGTAGCAAGGAGAAGGATTATTATAAGGTTCTTGGCCTGCCCAAAGATGCAGATGAACTTCAAATCAAATCTGCCTACAGGCGGAAGACGAGAGAGCACCACCCAGATAAGGCTATACGAAATGGAGTCACAAAGGAAGATGCGGAGAAGAGGATGGCGTCGATCAATGAAGCATACGAGGTTCTCTCCGACCCTGAGCTGAAGGAAAGGTTCGATCGCGGTGATGACCCAAATAGTCATGAAAGCAGACAAGGAAACCCATTCCAACATGGCAATCCATTTGGAGGGCAACAGCAGTTCTTCCACCAACAGGGATCACGAGGCGGAGGCCAATTTCAGTTTCAAAATGGCTTTCCATTCGGCTAGTGGAATGGGTAGGGAGGGTCTGTGAAGGAAAGGGAAGGCGAAATATGGCGTCCATTTGAAATTCTGTAATAGGCAGGGAGAAGGTCCATGTACAGTATATAGATATTGTTTTCTATTCAGGCACGACCAACCATAAGGAAGTAAAGAGCAGTGCTTTATACCTCAAGCAGTAATTTCAAGGGTTGGGTTATTCAATGTCTTATATTCGGTGCGCGGGAGTTATACAGTAATTGCATGATGATATGTATATGTAGAAGAAATGATAGTAATACCTACGGTTTTGTCTATCAGGTTGATTGTGGTGATGTTGGGCCAAGCCCACCTACCTGCCTAAGCTAGCGTTGTGTGGAGGGGATCGTTGTCGACTGCACGGTTCACGTCACGGCACCAAGTCTTGCCCGCACTTATTGTGCTCTGAAGATAACTAGCACAGAACCTTGGATTCGACTTACCCCGCGAGTTCTGAAGATTATCCAGGGAATCGGGATGCTTCTCCACTGATTAATGATTTCGTCAGAGGTCTCCCGGCCTGTCTAGGATGGAGGGGTTTGTGGTCTCATACTCTTTGGATAATGAGCAGCAATTCTGGGATGGTTTGTTTATCCATGACTCCATGGTTGATCTTAGCTGACAGGTTACTTGAACAGAGTTAGATGACATATGCTCAGTACAGTGCAACTCGTCGCAATTGATCGACCAAGCACTGCGGACATATCTGCACTTCACTACGAACTTCAAGGACGAATACCTTGCTTCGGACCACGCCGTTGCAAGTTCCATAGCGAAACTCCTGGAGAGTGAGCTATTCAGGGCCAACGAAGACTATGTCCGCATACAGCTCGTGTATAGTCTCCTCCAAGAAGATGAACTGGCCACTTTGTACATTATAGCCAGTTTTCTCCTATACGATGGACGGCGAAACGAGGACACGTTCAAGATTATGAATAAGGAAGGCTCGTTTGCGAGGCTTGTGGAGTTAATAAAGTGTGCGAAGGATGAAGACTCGAGATTGCACAGGCTGCTGCTAGAATTGCTCTATGATATGTCTAGAATGCAGAAACTGAGCCTGGAAGACCTCAGCCACGTGGATGACGACTTTGTTAAATGCCAATTCCAGATTATTGAAGAGCTCTCCGACGACGTTAATGACCCTTACCACTACCCAATCATTCGAGTCTTGGTAATCTCAACCTGCTCCAAATCTGCCGTTCACTACTAATAATCATAGCTTGTGCTCAACGAACAGTATATGGTCGCTGCAACCACTGCACCAGATGCTACCTCTGTCCCTACAACAAACCGAGTCGTTAAGGTCCTCAGTGTGTGCGGGCAAAACTATATGACCTTCGGCGAAAACATCATTCTTCTCCTAAATAGGGAAACAGAGACCTCACTGCAGCTCCTCATCTTGAAACTTCTATACCTTCTCTTCACCACTGAAGCGACCCGGGAGTACTTCTATACCAACGATCTGCGAGTACTTCTCGATGTCATAATTCGAAACCTTCTAGATCTGCCAAACGAACTCATTTCTCTCCGGCACACCTATCTCCGAGTGCTATATCCTCTGCTAGCCCATACCCAGCTAGCACAACCGCCACATTACAAGCGGAATGAAATCTTAAAGGTTCTTGCTCTACTCAGTGGGTCGGGGAATGCTCATTTTGCGCCAGCTGACGAGACGACAACTCGGCTTGTTAGTAGAGTGGGGCAGGTCCCCTGGCTGAATGAAGGGAAGGATACAAATGATGCAGACCTTTCGAGAAAGCTGCTCGGGATTAGTTTGCCCAGCAGCCAAACGGAAAGCTCTGTAAGTGTTGTTGACCTGGCTGGTCTCACAGAGAAGCCCGGTATTCAGACGCCGAGCCGAAGGACAGAGGCGGCTCTAGAAGCCGCTGCAGATGGCGTGGATAAAAGAAACCGCTCGGATGGCGTCAAGTTTGCGATGCCACCAGCTACTTCTCATCGAGATAAACAGATACCGCCAAAGGCGCCGCCACGGAGGAGAACCAAGCTGAAAGAGCCCATCAAGCTCGAGAACACTGGCGATCAATAACAAAGCATTACGATTATGTTTTGCATATTGGCTTGGGCAACAACGATGAGAGCTCGTCGTTCGGACCAGGTCATATTTGGATCCGATACCAGGGTCATGGAGCGAAGACACAATCGGATAAGCTGTAGAAGCGACGTCTTACTCATAAATTGATGTCGCACAAGTGATTATGCAGACAACGACTATTAATACCCAATTCAATAGATTTTAAGTAATGTCATTCAACTCGATAGATGCCAGCCAACTATGGCAGCTGTGACTTTTGTACACAGAGAACCTGAAATAGACAAGTGATCAAAACGCCTAGAACCCCACTCTGTGATGTACCGCCATCCCTAACCTCTTCCTCTGCTGAATCCACCACGGCCCCTCGGTGCACCCCTCGAGAAGCCACCACTGCCACCGCGAGAGAATCCGGAGCCACCGCGGCCTCCAGCACTGAATCCACCTCTCCCCCTCGGTGCGCCTCGAGAGAAGCCACCACCACGTCCACCACGGATTGGGCCACCTCGTCCACCTCTGGCACCGCCAGCGCGCTTTGGCTTTGGTGCGCCAGGTGCTGGCTTTGGCTTTGGCAGGAACTTCTCAAGGGGCAGGAGCTTATCGCCGCCAATGAAGAATTTGTCGCCTGATTTGAAAGAACCAGCCTGAATTCCCTCCGTTGGCTTTATGGTGAAGTAAACCTGGTTGATTGGGCCAAGGATCTCATCAACTTTGCCAATCGAGGTCTGTAATATGTTAGCATATATACGCATACGTAATTGGAGCTCAAGCAGTAAATCTCACCTTATTCTCGAGGTAGATGGGTGCGTTGAAGTATGGAATTTTCGTGTTGGTAGATTCGCAAACCATTTCGCCCTCGCATGCGTGCAGGAAAGATCCCAACTCCAAGACTGAGGCTGGAGGCCCCATATCCCTAGAGAAACCACCGCGACCGCCTGGTAGACGTTAGTTGATGTTCTAGTTGTGCGATGACTTGAACACTGTTACGCACCACCACGAGCCCCAAACCCGCCGCCTCCTCTGCTTCCACCTCCGAATGAATTCGCACCGGTACCGCGACCGCCTCTGGAGCCACCTCTGAACGACATATTGCGAATTGGTGGGGTGGTAGTTGCTGTCGGTGTTGTTGGTATCCCAAATTTTATTGGAATATTCGGCAACCTTAGCACGTAAAAAGGTCGACTTGATCTAAAGTTATTTTGTGTCAAGAAACTAAACTTAATACGGACTAGTTTCTCAACTAGATCCCCGCAGTTAGCGTGATTCTGTGTTTGGTTGGTATTATCAGGTACTTCGAAGCGACACCGACAACAATTTGACTCACCCCACCACTTTCTCCCATCTCCAAACGATACAATCCAGAAGGCCGTCGGCATGGCAGACACCGTTAAAGATGCGGTTGACGCTGTCAAGGAAGGCGTCAATAACTTAGCTGTTAACAAGAAACAACAACAACAAAAGCCCAAGAAGGAGAAAAAGAGCGGGGACGATGGCGGGGCATCTGGGCCATTGGAACTCAGTCCTGAGCCGGACTTCATATCCCACAGGATCAAGATATTCGAAAAACTGAAGGCTGAATATGAGGTTGAACTTGCCGCCAAACCCCGTGAACCGATTACGATTACCATGAAAGACGGAAGCATCAAGGAAGGAACTTCATGGGAGACAACGCCTTCGGAGATCGCAAAGGCTATTTCGAATAGTTTACTCAAGCGCACAGTCATTGCAAGGCTCAACGGCGACAACAACCAGCTATGGGATCTCGAGCGGCCACTAGAGGAGAGCTGTAGCTTGGAATTGCTCCCATTTGAAGATGAGGAGGGCCGGAAGGTTTTCTGGCACTCAAGTGCTCATATTCTAGGTGAGGCCTCTGAGCGGAGATTCGGTTGCAATCTTTGCTTTGGGCCACCTATCGATGACGGCTTCTATTATGAGATGGCCCTCCCTGGGGGTGCTGCAGTCCAGCAGTCGGATTGGAAGCCGATTGAAACACTATTCAGCAAAATCGTGAAGGAGAAACAACAGTTTGAGAGACTTGTCATATCGAAGGAGGACTTGCTGGAAATGTTCAAGGGCAACCCATACAAGCAACACGTCATCAAAGAGAAGGTGACAGAACCAAAGACCACGGTATACCGAAATGGACCCTTGATCGATCTGTGCAGGGGACCGCATGTTCCCAATACGGGCAGGATTGAAACATTTGCGATCATGAAGAACTCGGCGTCTTACTTTCTCGGTGATCCAAAGAGAGACTCTCTACAACGCATCTATGGTGTCTCATTCCCTGACAAAAAGTTGATGGCAGAGCATAAGAAATTCCTTGAGGAGGCTGCTAAGCGCGATCATCGAAAGATCGGCAGGGAACAAGAGCTCTTCTTTTTCCATGAAATGTCACCAGGTTCAGCAATGTGGCTGCCTCACGGGGCTCGCATATACAACACCATTCAGACATTCTTGCGGGATGAGTACTGGAACCGAGGATATGAAGAAGTTATCACTCCAAATATGTACAATTCTGAGCTCTGGAAAACATCTGGGCATTGGCAGAATTATAAGGATGATATGTTTACGTTTGATGTAGAAAAGGAGCAGTTTGGACTAAAGCCAATGAACTGCCCAGGACATTGCTTGATGTTCTCTCATCGCGAGAGAAGTCATCGCGAGTTGCCATGGAGAGTTGCTGACTTCGGTGTGTTGCATCGCAATGAAGCGTCTGGTGCACTTACGGGATTGACGAGAGTCCGAAGATTCCAGCAGGACGATGCCCACATTTTCTGCCGTGAAGATCAAATCGTTGATGAAATCGAAGGATTATTCGATTTCCTTCGCACCATGTATGGCCTCCTCGGCTTCACCTTCAAGATGAAGCTCTCGACAAGAAATCCTGAGAAGTTCATGGGTGACCTTGCCGAATGGGACAGAGCCGAAGCCAGCTTGAAGGCAGCGCTAGATCGCTTTGCAGAGTCTCCCGGTGGAACGCCATGGGAGTACAATCACGGAGATGCCGCATTTTATGGACCAAAGATTGATATCAAGATTTCTGACTCGATGAGGCGTGACTGGCAATGCGCAACGCTTCAGCTCGACTTCCAACTTCCTAAGAACTTTGGTCTTGAATACATGACATCAGAGGGGGCTATGAAGCCAAGGGACGAAGCAAACAAGGGAGAGAATATTGCTGCGACAGCGGATACAGCAGAGAAGGATGTGTCTAAGAAGGATAAGGCGAAGGCCCTTACGCCAGGTTGCGCCCGACCTGTCATGATCCATCGTGCGATGGCTGGGAGTATTGAGCGCTTCGTTGCGGTTCTGATTGAGCACTTTGGAGGCAAATGGCCCTTCTGGCTCAGCCCACGGCAGATTCTGATCATCCCGGTCGGCGTTGGCTTCTACGAGTACGCGAAGGAGGTTCAAGAAGCCTTCCACAAACTGAAGTTTTTTGTCGATGTTGATCTGAGCGGTAACACTCTTCAAAAGAAGATTCGTACTGGTCAATTAGCCCAGTATAACTTTATATTCGGTAAGATCTCGTAACATGCACTTACTGAGGATTGATGGCTAACATTGTGACAAGTTGTTGGTGACCAAGAAATGAAGAATAGGGAGGTCAACATCAGAAACCGCGATGATACTTCGAGCCAAGACCGGGGCAAGCCAGTTTCTCTCCAGGAAGCAAAGGAGAAGCTGATTGCACTGAGGGACGAGAAGGGCACAGCAAACCCATTCGCAGCCAACGATGCAAAGGTGGCTGAGGTTTCAAAGGCCTAGACAGTGTGTAGTTCCGGTCAAATTCAAGAATATAAGCCGGATGAGAACCCATGGCAATGAAGTAAATGGTAGCTACATAACAATAAAAACCCGAGTTAAACTAGAACAACTGGTAGGAAACAAAGTGAACTTAGACATGATTTAAGGTCGTACTACTAAAATTTAGCATCAGTAGAATATATCCACGTATATCCACCTCTGTATGCCAACAATGGGGCGTTCGAAAGAAAACGATAGTCAATTTAGGTCATGTGATGCAGATCTTGTTGATTTGTCCCTGATCCCTGAGTTCCAGTGCTTTGGAACGTCGTCATCATATCACTATTGCCAATCTCGGCTGAGTGCCAGGCCCAGGATGTTATCAACCAAGTTTACCTCTCTATTGCCGCCCCAACGCAAATACCACTGATACTCGGTGTCGCCCAATGCCAACCAGTGTACATTTTATCTTGTCGTCAAGCAGCTGTCGTTGTTTCACTTGACAGGCAGATATCCACTTCACTTTGCGACCAAAAACTACGACCTCGGTGCGGAGTACACCAACGTTCCCAACCTGCCTAAATTGGTATTAATGCTTTCGACATTCCGAACTCGTTCAATATTACTGCGTCGCAGAGGAATACATCATGTCATCTCTTCCATCGGGGAGCCGTGCTACACAGCAACGTGCAGAAACAGGATATAGCACGAGTACAAAAGCCCCTCTCATGCTCTCAACCAAGGACTCGATCATGCCGGACCGCAGTCTAATTGGAGGAAATGGTGTTGATCAGTCGCCTTTGTCACAAAACGCTTCCTATCAAAGCTACGGAAAATTCAATGAAGAATGGGACGCCAGCCAGCGGGGCAGCTCGATCATTGACACTGAGCGCTACCAATCGAAACATACGCCCTCTGTTATGTCGCAAGGTGACCCATTGCTCCCACGACGAGGGGGAACACTTAAAAAGAAAGCTTCGCTGAGGCGAAGCAGCAGCCGTCGGAGTTCCCGAGCTGGTAGCGTAAGGAGTTTGGCTTTGCAGCCAGAGCCATCGGATGAGATTCACAGCGCATTCTATTCTCCTGTGCCGACTACCGGTAACCCAACAGAGGCGCTTGCGAATAGATTTACAGGTACGTGTATCAGCCGTGCACTGCTTCTCTCCATGCTACACAAACCGTTGCTAATGTTGGCGTGAGCAGCGTGGAGGAAATTTTTGAAGGATCTCATTGTCTACTTTAGAGAGATCCAGAACGGATACGACCACAGAGGAAAGAGCATCTTAAAACTATCAAATGTTGCCAACAATATCAGCGCGCCCGAGAATTTCCTCCAGTCTAATGGCATCAACGAAGCAATGCAGATACTACGTGATTACCACAAACAGACAATCACAGAGTCAAGCAAAGCCCGAATGATCCAAGAAGACGTGGTGCAAGCCTTGACTGGTTTACGAAGTGACCTTCAACAAAAGATCAAAGAGATCAAGAATCTGTCTGGTGACTTCAAAAACTCTGTTGACAGGGAAATGGATACTACAAGAAGGGCTGTGCGCGTATTGGGAGATTCGCTAGGCCAATCCGACATTGATGCATCGCAGATGACAGGAAAACAAGATCCATACTTACTGAGACTAGCAGTTGAGCGCCAGCTCGAGAGGCAGATTGATGAAGAGAATTATCTCCACCAGGTAAGCCAACACCAACCCAGCAAATAATTCCAGGCCCTAACATATGAAGGCATACCTTAACTTGGAAACATCTGGCCGAGAGCTTGAGTCTATTGTAGTGGGAGAAATCCAGAAAGCTTACAACGCTTACACTGGCATACTGAAACGTGATGCTGACGAGGCATACACTGCGATACAGAACCTCAGAACGGGTCCGATTGCGATGCCTAGAGACTATGAGTGGAACAGTTTTATCGAGTCAGATGAGCACTTCGTTGATCCCAGAGTCCCTATGCGCAGTGTTGAAAACATTCACTACCCAGGCCGCGACCACGAGCTTGCCCAGGAAGTTCGAGCAGGTTTGCTGGAGCGTAAGAGCAAGTACTTGAAAAGCTATACTGCCGGATGGTATGTGTTGTCACCAACACATCTACATGAGTTCAAAACCGCGGACAAATCTCAAGCTCCTATAATGTCCCTTTATCTCCCTGAGCAGAAGCTTGGATCCCATTCCTCGGAAGGTGGGTCGTCGAACAAATTCATGCTAAAAGGACGCCAAACTGGATCTCTCCATAGAGGCCATTCCTGGGTGTTTCGAGCGGAAAGCTACGATACGATGATGGCTTGGTATGATGATATCAAGTCATTGACAGAAAGTGCACCTCAGGAACGAAATGCATTCGTTCGTTCACACGCCCGAAGCTTCAGTGCTGCCTCCCAGCGAGCAGCATCTGTAAGCAGTGACGGGGTTATGGACGAGGAAGACGAGGAGCCGTTCTCAACAGTTTCAAACTCTGCTGTCGTGCAAGTTGCCAATAAACAAGAAAACGCCAAGCGGCCGGAACCAGGTGGGAGATTCCCGTCCGACATCCAGGTGGACCCTTCTCGTGGCTTACAAGTACCTCTTTCGCCGTCTAGTGCAAACTCAAGCTTAGGAAACAATGAAATTCGGAACGAAATCTCTACTACTTCAAATGTAGCGAGAGGCGGTACTGGTGAATATTTCCCGGAGAATCGCATCATCTCTCAAGCATCGTCACATTCCGGTCACGGCACCTCAAATGGAGCTAGACCATCGCACGCGACACAACTAGATCAATTCGCCGTCGAAGATGGGCTAAACCCTTACACTTATCAACCGCTTGGAAGCCAGAACCCACAGGGATCACCCTTGACGAATAAAACGGCCGTCGATGAAAAGGGGTTAGCTGAATATAGCAACTATCAACAGATTCCTGTTCTCGAGCGTCAATTCAACCAATCGACCCCCAGTTCTCGGGTAGAATATATGGCCGCTAATAACGATCCCGCATTGCAGGAACATCTTGCACAGACAGGGCCTACCACGACTGGGAATGAGGCCTCAGGTCTTATGGCGGCATCCCGAGCAACCATCCACCCTGTCATCTCAGAAACGGCGAACGCCAACACTCATTCACAGCCATATTTGGATTACTCTTCGATCGTACCATCAGTGGCTGGGCTAAATACTATCACTGCTGTGAATCACTTAGCAGAGCAACGTCCCGAGTTTCCAGAGTCAAAAAGTCTAGAGCAAGCGACAAGCCTTCCAAACACAGCCCATGAAAGCCACTCGTTTTCCGGACCTCGATATGCTGACAATGATACGTCTTCTTCTAACACCACTCACATGCATATTCCAGGGGAATATCCTTCCCAGACGCCAACCGACGAATAATCGTTGGTTTCCAAAGTGGTGATATATCCTCGGTTATCTCCTTTTGGTCAAACCACTTCTACAGTTGTCGAGGTCCCTACTTTGGATTTCCACAGCTGCTGGTTCGTCCTCCACTATTTCTGGTTCCTCTACGGCAGCTAGTCGCTGAATGGGAGCTTGTCTGTTGGCCTCATAGCTGCCACCGGTTCCTCAAGCTCCAGCTCCACAGCTCCAGCTGGCTCCTCAACTTTTAGCTCCTGTATTTTCAGAGCTTCTCGGTTTTGAGCTCGTCACTTCCCACCCACGGCACTAGTTTTATCGATAGAATAACCATCAGGACGTCAGGCTGGCAAACTCGTCACTCGTTACGGGGCACAGGAACATGTCAATCATGTATATATCGAAGACTACACTGTTTCCTCTGATAGATAGATAGAAGCAATCAATCCAAACTTGACATGTAACATCAGATGCTAGTATACACGAGGGTTTTGCATGAAAATGCCCGACTTTCTGTTAATATTACCACTTGTTGTTGAGGGATGATATGATGAAATTATTTCCTATAAACAAAGTTAGGCTAACTAAGAACCAGGGTGCAAAAATAGTAAACTGGTTAATTACCCTAGGCAGACTCGAGTATTTTAAGACTGTATTTGTAAGTTCATTTAGCGTTGTTGCAATTATATCGACTTTAGCAGCAGTCAACATCATAATTGGCTAGATTACCAAAAATATCTCAATTACTAAACTATGCTTGCTAACATCATATTAACTACTTAACTACTAGTATATTAACTTTATAGGGCTTTAACTTAGAAGGAAAACATTATGTGTTTCTATAAATTTCATTTCTTCGTATGAACCTATGGCGTACTATTCCACATTTAATTAATACCGTTAAGTAATTTTACCCTTTATAACACGTGTTCTAGATTATTACATGTTATGTTATTATGTACTAAAAGGGTTTTTTGTTTGCTTACATATAACATTCTAGTTAACGTATTTCACAAGCGAGTCGGACACACAAGCGGGTCGGACACCAAAACACCAAAACGCGTCAACCCATCTGTAATTTACAATGCCACAACCAACGCAAGCCCAATCCTCTAAACAGGAGGATAGAATACTATCAGCTATCCAAGCAATTAAACTTCACCAAATTAAGAGTGTTCGAGCAGCAGCTATATTATATGACGTGCCTTCTTCAACACTCTTCGATCGGATTAAAGGAATGGCTTCCCGACGCGACTCTACTCCTAACTCACGAAAATTGACTCCGTACGAAGAGTCAGCTCTTGTTCAGTATATCCTCGACCTAGATTCACGTGGATTTCCACCCCGGCCACAAGCTGTGCAAGAAATGGCAGACCTTCTACTCTCCAAACGAGGCGAGAGCCCTGTTGG